TTGGGAGTACAGGTAGATTCCACATATAGCAGGGGAAATCAGCAACCAGCTGATAGACCAAGTTTCAGGATAAAAGAGCATGGAATTCATTGCAAAATATAAAGATTGATTCTTTACACAGACTGCATTGGATTTGAACCAGCAACACTGCAGTTAAATCTGACAAGGTGGTAGAGGTAGGAGGGGTCTAATGCCAAATATGGAGACGATGGTAGGCGTCAGATAAGGATGCGAGGAGCCAAACTGGGTTAAAGAGGAAGGTTGGAGTGGAAATACATGTTGCTACAAAGCGGGCACTGGCACCTGTGCAACAGTCAGCATGGGAGAGGACGACTGAAATGAGAACGGCATATTCCAAGTCAGGAGGGTGGAGAGAAGCTCTCAGTGACAGGGTTGCAGCAGATCAGGAGATCGTTCTCAGCATGTGCTCACTGGTGTTATCGCAACTTCTTGCGGGTCAGACAACCCTGGCTCTTTTGGACCACGCGGGCGGCGCTGTGGGTTAAGCCACAGAGCCTAGGACTTGCCGATCACAAGGTCGGCGGTTCGAATCCCCATGACGGGGTGAGCTCCTGTTGCTCGGTCCCTGCTCCTGCCAACCTAGCAGTTCAAAAGCACGTCAAAGTGCAAGTAGATAAATAGGTACTGCTGTGGCGGGAAGGTAAACGGCGTTTCCGTGCACTGCTCTGGTTCGCCAGAAGCGGCTTAGTCATGCTGGCCACATGACCCGAAAGCTGTCTGCGGACAAACGCCGGCTCCCTCGGCCAATAAAGCGAGATGAGTGCCGCAATAATAATAATAATAATTTATTATTTATACCCCGCCCATCTGGCTGAGTTTCCCCAGCCACTCTGGGCGGCTCCCAATCAAGTGTTAAAAACAGTATTATATATTAAAAACTTCCCTGAACAGGAAACCCCAGAGTCGGCCACGACTGGACCTAATGGTCAGAGGTCCCTTTACCTTTACTATATTGATTATCTAGAAGGAGTTGGAGAAAGGGGGATGATAGGAGGCAGAGAGTGGGTTGAGCCCTGAATTGCACAGAACCACCATTCAAATGGAGATGCACGCACTACGCACTTCTCTGCGAGTCCCAACTAATCCAAGTAAAATGAACAAAGACAGAAGGGAGGAATACACGGAAAAGTACGGCACTTTTGCCTTGTAAGAGTATTTGTGGCCCAGTGCTAATTGATGTTGGGCTACTGATGCTCTGTGGGGCTGTATTGGGGGGATTATTTTTATTTATTTTTTTCTGATATTTTGTTGTATGTTTTGTTATGGCCAGTAGCCCAAACAAATAAATTCTACTGATGTATGATATGTAAAAATATATATATTCTTTAGATCTTAAAGACTGGTTTAATAGAAGCTCTATCTCTCTCTCTCTAATGCATTATGGTTATAATAATGCTGATATATGCAGGATATTAATTTTTCTTTTTATCATACATTAGATTAACTGAAACAGTTAGCATCTTTAAAGATCTTAAAAGTATTAACATGGTGCTTTTGCAAAACGAAAACAGATGTGAAAAACTTGCATCTTTCCTGAACATGTATACACCATTATTCCTATCCAGGACAAAAATTGCTGGCATTTGTATGCCACCCCATAAATTTTTCTGGGAGGCTTATAATAAAAAAGCAATTTTTAAAAATATATGTACAAAATAAAACACGAAAGCATGAATCAAAAACTACATAAATACAAACAAAAAAACCTCACCATACCCCCAGAATTAGAACACGGATTTATAAAATAAACAATAAAATAGTAATCTTATTAGATAAAATATATATTATAATATATCTTAAGGAAAGGTCACATTCTTTAGGTTTGTTTGCTACTGTTGTTGTTGTTGTTAGCAAAAGCATAGAAATAAGATTTATACGCCTTCTATTCTGGATGCTCCACCTCTGACCGACTGACATGTCAGTTTCTTTTAAGACTATGGATTACAATCCTTAAAGAACACATATAAGGGTAGTGGAGTGCACATCTATTTTGGTTCTGCAGATTCTTCCATATGGCTTGTGCAAGTGCCAGTGATACTTCAGATACCCAGAACTGCACCACTGTTGCCGCTTCCATCTACCAATAATTATGTCACAACAAAAAGGACAGGAGCAAGGCTTTCTCTGCTGCAAGGGAAAAGTCTTTGCTTAAGGTCACCACTGGGAGTTTCCCTTGAAAGCAAACAGCAGACATCTGGAGAGGCAATTTTGGCCGGGAGAGAAGGTGTTAAGCTTCTCGCCACCACAACCACCCTCACGGTGCTGACATTATCTCACACTTTCCTGCAGCTACCTATTTACATAACACAAAATGTGCATGTTAATTTCATTCACACATTTGTTTATTTAAAAATCGTAAGCCCACCATTCATCTCCCAAAGGGAGCCCAGGGAGCCTCTTGAGAATAAAATTGCATACAAACAATTTTAAATAGCACCATAATTAGAGTGGTTCTTACTGGGATCGTTGAACTGAAAGAACCTGCTAGACTTTTACTGAATACAACCCTCTTCTTCTGTGGTCCTGGGTCCCAGTTATTTAAAAGCTGACCCTTTGTCAGGCTTCAGGCACCGAGGCTCTGGAACCAGAAGGGGCTATCAACCCAATTGGACTTGCAGCAGCTGCCTGGTCCAAAATCATCAGGGGTTACAAGCCAAGGCAACAAAGGAGGATCAAGAGAGCAAGGAGCAAGTGTGTAATCAAAACTGAGCCGGGATCAAGACTGAAGGCAGCATTTAGAGAAAGGGATATGGCACTTAAACAAGAGACAAGTTAGACTAGTAAGGTAAAAGGTAAGGTAAAGGACACCTGGACAGTTAAGTCTAGTCAAAGGCGACTATGGGGTGCGGAGCTCATCTCGCTTTCAGGCCGAGGAGGCGGCGTTTGTCCTCAGACAGCTTTCCGGGTCATGTGGCCAGCATGACTAAACCGCTTCTGGCACAACAGAACACTGTGATGGAAGCCAGAGGGCACGGAAAAGCCGTTTACCTTCCCGTCGCGGTGGTACCTATTTATCTACTTGCACTGGCGTGCTTTCAAACTGCTAGGCTGGCAGGAATTGGGACAGAGCAACGGGAGCTCGCCCCATCACGGGGATTCGAACCACCGACCTTCTGATCAGCAAGCCCAACAGGCTCAGTGGTTTAGACCACAGCACCACCCGTGTCTAGTACCACAACCTAGTCACAAGTAGTAACTAATCTGGTACCCTGTACAGGTTGTGGATTGCAATTCCTATCAGATTCAACTAGTACAGAAAGTGATAAGAAATGACAGTAACTGCAATCCAGCAACAGCTGGAAGGCAACATATTGGCTACCCCTGGCCTGGATAATGTCCTCAAAGGCACAGTCCTCAAGTCAACCAGGCTTGGTGGAAAAACAGTGAATGGGTGATGCAGGATATAAATGACTACTGAAGAGTCGGGGTTGAGGAACCTCTTTCTACTCCAACGCTTTGTATTTTTCTCCTCAACCTCCGATCATGAAGATGCAAACATACTGCAACACGGAGGGTCTGAGAATTAGAGAAGACGACATTCAGTACGTTTCTGCATGAAGATGAAGCTTTCACCTGCCAGTGACATACTGTAATTCTGGCAAACACAACGTAGTAAAAATATAGGCCGATCTGTAACATTCTGATTGGTTAGCAAAACTGCCTACATTCAAGTGTGAGTCATTGAATGATGACATCCCAGGTGATGAAACGTATAGATGCAAATTAGCTGTCAGATACGGCCTACAGAAGTCTTAAGTCTTTTTTTATTGGGGGGGGGAGAAGCAGGTGAAAAGAGACCCAGACATTGCTGCATCTAAGGTTTCCACATCTCTTGCAAGGAAGGAAGAGAAGAGACCCTGGTAACTGCTATAAAAAAAAGCCTGGTTTAAAAGAAAATGTGTGAAAATTCAGGATGGACCTTGATAAGTGCCGCATATGCTTCCAAGAGATAGCACAGGGTGGCAATAGGTCTGCGAGAAAGCTATTGTAGCACAGGTTTTCTCTAAACCTGTAACAAGAGAAGAACAATATATTTATTTGAAGAGGTAAGCTGAAAGGCAGCACTTATATACAAGTGCTGTCATAGCCAGTTTCTCAGCACTTAAGAGTGCATAACATCACCATCCCTCGTTGAACTTTGGTTCTTTCTTTATAAAATTGCAATATGCCGCTTCTTCTGTGTCCCCCTCAGAAGCAACTCTCTGGTCCATGCCTTGAACATAAGATGTTTGAGGATCAGGCCAGTGGAGCATCTACTCTAGACTCCTCTTCTCACAAGGGTCAGCTGGGGGCCTAGGGGAGCTTGCAAACGGACCTTGAGCACAACAGCGCTCTCCGCGCCTGTGGTTCCCGGCAACGGACATTGAGAGGCCGACAGTGGAGGTGGAACATAGCCATTGTGGCTAGCAGTCTCCTCCTCCATGAATTTGTCCAATCCAAAACTATCCAAGTTGGTGGCCATCCTGTTGGAGCAAATTCCATGGATGAACTCTGCGCTGCGTGAAGAAGTACTTTATTTTGATTGTTCTGAAGCCTCCAACATTTCAGCTTCATTGGATGTCTACAAGTTCTACTGTTACGAGAAAGGCGGGAAAGCCTTTCTCTATCCATGTTCTCCATGCCATATATATATATTTCTACACTTCTATCGTGTTGCCTCTTCCTCATCCTTTATCCAAACCCCAAAGTCACAAACACAGGAACTTTTCCTCCTAGGGGAGTTGTTCCCTGGTCAGCTTTTTGCCTCATCTCCTCTCTGGCCTTCCATCATCTCACTTCTGTCCAGCATGTTCAGGGAAGTTGTTAATGTGTGACATTCTAATGTATTTTAAATCTTTGTTGGAAGCCGTTCAGAGTGGCTGGGGAAACCCAGCCAGATGGGCAGGGCACAAATAATAAATTATTATTATCTTGACATTATTCACCTTTTCCATCACCCTGATCACATGACACCTCTCCATAAATCCATACACTAGCTTCCTGTCTGTTCCTGGGTCCTTCACAACCTTCTCACCTTTACCTCCACATCTCTCCATTCTTATACCACAAAACATAGGTGCCTGAGCTTCATCCAGTGTGGTGTAGTGGTTCAGAGCGGTGGACTTGTAATCTGGTGAACCAGGTTCTATTCCCTGCTCCCCCACATGCAGCTGCTGGATGACCTTGGGCTAGTCACACTTCTCTGAAGTCTCTCAGCCTCACTCACCTCACAGAGTGTTTGTTGTGGGGGAGGAAGGGACAGGAGATTGTTAGCCGCTTTGAGACTCCGTAGGGTAGTGATAAAGCGGGATATCAAATCCAAACTCTTCATCCAACTCCACCACCCTCAGCCTTCTGCTGCACTTTTATTTCCTCAAATAAGACTGCCATTTCTCCCCTGTTGCCCCTTATACCTGGAACTGCCTTCCAGAATGCCCCTACGAGGTCATCTCGCTTATGTCTTCCAGAGCTTTCCTCAAAACATTTTCCATGAAGTTATAGGCACAGCCCTTTAGTCCCAATACACTACTACGGTAACTTAACTAACGCATGTGTAACTGAACTGTTTGTTGTTTACACCTGCCTCTGTTTCTCTCCCTTATCTCCGTTAGACACAAAGGAGATATTTCAGAAATGACTGGTTCAAGGGTGAGGAACCTTTCCCAGTTTGAAGGCTACATTCCCTAGTGCGCAACCTTCCCCAGGGCGACTTACCAGCAGCGGTTAGCGCCAGAGGCAAAAGCAGGTGATGCAATGGATGTGACTTCTACCTTTCTACAGTGGACGGCCACACACAAATCACAACATATGCATATCTGTATACTCAATGCGAGGAAGCAAGAGGCATCACCACTCTTCCAGGACACCTTTCAGCCCAGGCAAACCAAGGAGCAGGGCTGCTAATGGGTGATGCTTGGGAAGGGGACAACGCCTAAGAGACTCCCAAGGGCGGGATAGAGAGGTCTGGAATACTGCTTTCGGCCCCTGATATAGAGCTCCCCACCTGTTCTAGATTATAAGAAACACTATGGATTAAGCTATATAAATAAAACAACAGCAATGTGTTTCAGGGCTATAGCAATTCCCAGACTAGCAAGCATTTCAATTGTAATGACCAGAGAAAGAGCCACTTGTGATGCCTTGTTCTGCTTATGGAAATATTTCCCAGAGATGGTTGCCTGGTGCTGACAATGCTACCTTTTGGAAACGTTTGATTTGCCTAGGCTCTGTTGAGGTGTAAGTGGGAGGAGGGTATTCCTCCCCCCCCCCCAACACAGACATTTTCCTAATGCTGTTGGCTTTTTCAATTTCTTTTTTTTATTATTTCTTCACAACCATTTCAAAACTGTAAGCTAAGACCCTCCAAGCGTCCCTATTTTCCAGGGAAAGTCCCTGATTCACAGAAGCTGTCCCGGTTTCTGATTGTCCCTTTTCCTCAGGATGTCCCTATTTTCATTGGACAGTATGGAATTATGCGACCCCCAAGCCAAGGAGATAAGTAACTATAGGACCTTTAGAAGACATCTGAAGGCAGCCCTGTATATGTTTAATGTTAATGATTTTTTAAATATATTTTGGAAGCAACCTGGTCAGATGGGCTGGGTATAAATATTATGATTATTATTGAACAGGATGTCCCTATTTTCATTGCAGAAATGTTGGGAGGGTATGTGAGCTGCTCTGAAGGACTAATAAAGCAGCACAGGAGCTTCAGCAGAGTAAATAAAATAAAAGTCTGAGCAATACGCGCATACATCAGGGTGGCAAAGGGATCACTAAAGCATATAGAAAGGGACACTCATTGCCACTTTTGCCCCTCGAGAGCTAAGCAGTGGCTGCAAAGCCGATCCTCTGAAGAGTGTGGCCACATGATCAGCAGCAAATGCAGGAACTAATCCGCATGGCCTGCTCCATCTGGAAAGAGGCTCTGTTTAATTTGCCTTTGTCCAGCTCATCCCTACTTACAGGAAAGCATCCAGAGCGTTTCCACAGGGATAGTCAGCTTTACGCAATAAGAGCCTGACAAGCCACAGCAGCTGCAAACTACAATCCCCAGGATGCAACGCTCCCAGCGAAGCTTCGTAAGCCAGACGTCGCCCCCCACTGCAGACCCTGCTGCGAAAGCGGCGCTCGCCTGAGGCCGACGTTCCCGTGCGCCTCACGTGACGCGCAACCAAACCCGACCTCCTCTTAGCCTGCGAATGGTCGGGACCCTTGGCCAATCGCACCCTTCCACTTAGCACAGGCATTTCGCCATTGGTGGAGGCGGTTTGGTCCTCCGCCTCTCTCCATTCCGCGCCCTGCGGCTCTGGGCTCCGATTGGCCGCCTGCCTGCCCTTTTGAAGTACCTGTCGCTCTCTGACAGGTTAGTAGGGAGTTCCCTCACGGAAGGACGGACGGAGGAGAAGGAGGGGTGAGCGGCAGGGGCGACAAGTGGGGCGGGGCCTCGCTGTTGGCTCCGCCCATCCTGGTGCGAATGTCATCGGATGCTTCGGCCTCAATTAACCACCTCTTTCCGCAGCCCCTTTCCGCGCGCGCGCCTCGTGGCACGTCACTCTCCCGTCAACGGCTTACAACACCGTCCCGAGCCAGCGTTGCCTCCTCATACGGAAGCTTTTCTCTCTCCTCACCCGCGGCTTTTGCTCCGCCCACCTCGCGCTCTCGGCCACGCCTCCTCCTCTCCCTTCCCTCCCCGCCCCCCGCCCTTCCCTTCCCTTCACATCGCGCGCGAGCTACTCCGGTCTCGCTCCCGCTCTCCGCCCGCCTCGCGCCGCACTGGGATGTTGGCGGCGGCATCGGGCGGCAGTTCCCGGGTCGCTGAGGAGATTCAGGAGGCGGGAGGAAGGAGGAACCGCCGCCGCCGCCGCCGCGGCCAGTGAAACGGGCGCGGTAAGGGCGCCGCTGCCTCGCCTCCCCTCCCTCCCTCCGTCGGAGAGCGCGCTGAGGGAAACGGGGCGGACTCTGCCCTTCTTCCCCCTCCTTCGCCGCGCGTGAGGCGGAGAGGCAAGCGAGGAGCCCCGGGGAGCAACATGGCGGAGCACTCGGCCCCCGACCACAAGCACAAGACCGGTGCCGCCGCCTCGTCGTCGTCGTCCAACTCCGCCGCTTCCCAAGCGCTGGCCAACAGTAGGGGCTCCTCCTCGACGACGACCGGCGCCGGGCCCCCGGCGGGCGGGGGCGGCGGCGGCCTGTCGGGGGGCCTGTCGCAGCCGGCGGGCTGGCAGTCGCTGCTCTCCTTCACCATCCTCTTCCTGGCCTGGCTGGCCGGCTTCAGCTCCAGGCTCTTCGCCGTCATCCGCTTCGAGAGCATCATCCACGAGTTCGACCCCTGGTAAGTGAGTTGGGGAGCAGAGGGCGAGCAGGAGCCGGGGATCCCCCTCGCCGCCCGCCTGCAGGCTGAGAGGCAGGCCGGCCGGCGGGGGGACGTTAAACGGAGCAGGAGCGGGGTCGACGCCGGCCCTCTGCACAAGCGGGTACCGGGAAGAGTCTCCCGGGGCCAAGCGCGGAAGGGACTCGGAGCACGCGGAGTGCTAGGCGTGGTTTTACGGGACCCTTTGTGGGTGAAAGGTCCCTTCCTGCGCCGGCAGATGCTCCGGAGCGGACAGGTAGACCTTGAACGGCGGCTTCTTTCCATCCTGGGCAGAGAGGCCGACCCCCCCCCCCCCAGCCCTGCTCGTGCACTTCATTCGGCAAAACTTGTGCGGCGCCCGCTTCTCCTCGCCGCTGCGGCACAGGCGGCGTGTGCGTTGGAGGAGCAGGAGGAAGACGGGGGGAATGGCCGAGGGAGCGGCTGCAGGGGAAGCGCGGAGAGACAGATAGAAGGCTGCTGCTTGACGGGACGCTGGTCCGGGAGAGGGGCAGGCGGAGTCTGCTGCTGCTGCGTACAGGTGGGTCGCCGTTAGGTGTAATAGCTGCGTGCTGTGGCAGAGGGGTCTGCGGAGCCGCCTCTGCAATCGTGTGCGAAGAGTAGGGAAATGAGTGCAAACCCACCAGGGGCTAAGCATTTCGCGCTCTTCCTCTGGATTTCTGCTTCTCCAAGGGGGCATATTGTGAACCGGGCTATGCGGAATCTCGGGGGACGGTCTGCACAGGATTTGGGACGGGAGAGCAAATCGGGAAGTTGGAAGGGGGTAACCTTGCTGGTCGGTAACCCCATCTGAAATACTGAAAATTAGTGTGGCGTTGGTGAAATGTGAGAGGTGATTTTTGATATTCAAGCTTTTTGATATATTGGTATTGTTAGGCATGCAGTGTCACTTTGCTTTAGTATGGTTTCTCATGAGACTTTGCTTTGTTTCCATGTAAAACAAGTATAGAGGTTTAATCCACATCCCATGGAACATACCACATGGCTGTGGTCTCTGCTAGAGAAAATGTATGAGTTGATTGCACGTCAAATTTTATCCAAATAGCACTGAGGCAAGTGCAGTCCCGAGGTCTATTTCTGCAGGCTCAGGAATACTTTCTGTGCTTAGTTGCCCCCATGCTGCATTGATTGGCTTTAAATTGACACTTTATGTTGTGGAACAGTTCATTTCTGAATGTAATGGCAGGTTTTAATGCATCATGATAGGGTTATTTCTGACTGAGAGCTTCCTGTGTCGCCACACGGTTGCATGGAGATGTACATTTCTGCCCTTATATTGGATTGCATCACTTATTTTAATCTCATGATTTGCAGCCTGCCATGTGGACTACCATATTTCTCATAAGAGTGGGATGCATTTGAGAAACTGCCACATGTTAAACTGTGGGGGAATCCTGAGAGCCACTTCACACATCACATCAGTAATGTGATTAGATTACAGTAGTAATTAGTGTTGTCAGTGTGGTGCAGTGGAATAGAAGTTTGACTTGGACAGGATCTAGATTCATGGCCCTCGTCAGCTATGAAGCTCACTGGATGATAGTGGGTTAGCCTTATTATGTTCTTGTAGTTACTATCTTTCTGTCTAACCTGCTTCACAGGGTTGTTGAGAGAATAAAATGGATCACAGCCTTATCTTCTTCTCTGAACCCTTTGGGGTGAGACACCAGTGTAATAATTATTACATGTCAGTGGACAGTTGTGTGTTGTGCAGAAAGAATTAAATGGTTTTTAGTGTACCAAACCACAGGTCTGTGTACAGTCTTGTCCATGTCAAACCAGATGACGTGCTTTATGTTTCTCTCTTGAGGAAAACATACGGCTCAATAGTAGAGTACAGTATATGCTTTAGCTGTAGAGGATCTTACATTCACTATCTGGCGAAAGAATTTCAAATTAGAAGGAACTCAGGGCCAAGCTACATGCATTGTCAGGAGGGCCTTTATCAGATCTCTCCCCTCTTTCAAAGGTAATAATAGCCACAGGAGGGAAATATACTTGGAGCCATGGTACTGGGTGAATCCCTTGCCCAAGTAGTGGGATTGGAGTGTCTATTTGCCCCCCTTCTAGAGCAAATAATAGCTTGGCATGGGATTAAGATTGGGAAAATGGCACAGGGTTTGTCACTTCCCTAGTGATATGTGTACTATCGGTTTTCTGCAGCAGGACAAATAGGAGCTCTGGAGAAGGTCAATTCAAATAAGGCATAGCATATGTGTGTTCCTATTTCCCTCACTCATTTAGCAAAGCAAAATACAGTGCAAGATCCGTTCAGTGATCTCTGGCATGTATATCATATCAGCCTACCTTGAGCCTTAGAGAGCTGCTGTCAGTCAGAGTAAAGAATACGGACTAGTACTCTGAGTCTGTATATGGCAGATTCATATATTTTCTTCAATGCTTGGACCAGCTACGTGTGTGTGTGTGTGTGTGTGTGTGTGTGTGTGTTGAAGCAGCTGTACCTCTAATTGTTAATGTTTTAGTGGATGCATGCTGTGTGTCTGTAACATGCACCTATCAGAATAAAGCTGCTGATGTGGCCCTGAGCACTTAATGTTGCACTTAGCAAAGGCAAGATAAAACAGGTTTAAAATAATCAAATAGAAGTAGTTTGAAAGCAAAGGATAAAAATGGTGGTGGGTACATTGTCATATACTAGATTCTTTTTTTAAAAAAAAACTTGATATGACACATAAATTGGAGGTTTAAGCATATTGGCTATTAATATTGGATAAACACTTTTGCATTTTATTGTTACTAAAAATGAATTCTATGAAAGTGTTTGCTAAAATCAGTTTCAAACGTTCCATTACACCCCTGCTCTGACTAAACCTGCAGTCCCATGAACAGCTGAAAGCCCCACTGATCAAAGTGAAACTTAATTATGAGTAAACATACTTAGGATTGCACTGTTTGAAACAGGACTTAGGATGGAGCTGTACAAAAAGGATTCTCAGTGGCTTTGATTAAGACACATTGGAGAAAGTAAAGCAATCTGGGACACTGCTGAGAGGCACTGAACCTGCTCCTTGTTCCAAGGAGTGGTTACTATGATTATGTTAAACCTGTGAATAGATTTTGTGTGTGTGTCCCACAGTGCTTTGGTAAGAAAGTGAAATAAAGACATATTTGGAGTACCACTTGCATGTGTCCTTCTGTATACTACCACCTCTATTGATACCACCTGCTGTTGATAGACAATAGATATATAAAGGAAAAATAACCAGAGCTGAGTTGAAACAGAGGTAGCATCATAGACATTTTTTATTCTGTGCAGTCAGCACCCCCCCCCCAAAAAAAATTGTTTGCACCCCTTTCAAGAGAGGGTGTGTAAGTTTCCCCAAGAGAGCAAGAAGAGGAAATGTTCTCTAAATCAATTCATTTGTGTATATTTAGCTGCGGCAGAACGGGGATGTACCGTACATTTGGAGCGACATCACTATTCTTCTGTTGCAGCTACTCATGCATAACTATGCATGACTAAAGCTGGATCAGAGCAAAAGTCTTGCTGTGCAGTGCTGACAGCAACACAGGGAGAGTTGGCCCAGTTGGCTCAATAACAAAGATGCAGTTTCTCTTGCCACTTTCACTTAGACCTCGGTGACAATATCACATAGCCATATCTGCTTACACAGTGACATAGTGCCACCCAGTTCCCCAGTGTGATTGGCTTGGATCATGTTTTGAGAGATGTCCTAAAATAGGCTGAAACAGCAGCATATTGGGACTGAAATAGGTGTAAAAAACAGTGTGGACTTTTGAAGAGCTTTTCACATACCTCAACAGGTCACTTTTATTCTTTATGAGGGTTCAAATATAAACATTCGTTGCAGTGCTAGAAAAATTAGACGTGTAAATGAATGAACAAAGGAGGATTCCTGGGTGGAAAAAATCCATTGTGCTAATAAAACTTCTAAAACTGACCATGTTAACAGTTGCATTATCCCTTTGTGATTTGCACTAGCTGCCAAATAGTTTCTGGGCTCAATTCAAGGCGCTGATATAAAACCTTTAAAGCATTTAGCTTGGGACCTGGATGACTCAAGAACTGCCCTTTTTCTGCATGCTCCAAGCATCAGCACATGTAAAAGTGTTCCCAAGAGAGCTCCAGATCACACAACCTCAAGAGGTGCCAGCTAGATAAAGGGTGTGGTGTATTGAGTCCCATCATTCTGTTCCTTCTTGTGTCTGGTAAAGTTATGGCTTTTTAATAAGGTTGTTGACTGATTAAATAACTTCCACACTAGCTTAGGCAGTGTTTCTTTTAATGACTTACGGATTTGTTAATTTGGTTATTGTATTGGGCTTAGTTTATTTTATCTGTTGGCTGCCTTTACATAAATAAAGCAGGTTTTTTAAAATGAATATTTAAAAAATTCAGTGACCTAGTTCATATGTAATCCAAACAGGCTAACATGCAGATTCTGGGAGATCAGACTGCTTTTCTCCTCCTCCTGTCCTGCTGCCGCCTTGCTGCTATGAGCTAAGCCATAGTTTGGCATAGCACTGAATCTGAATCAGTGCTCATGGTTTACACCACTCCAGACAAACCATGAACTGTAAACAAGGTTTGTTCTAAGATTTACAGTTTGTGGTTTGTCATCGGGGCATAAACCACAAGTCTGGTTTCAGTTGTAACACTTAGCCAAACTTTAACTTAGTTCATAGCAGAGCAGTGGCAGCAGGACTGCAGAAGGAATAAATCAGCTGTAATCTTTTTTCCAGTGGCCAGCACATTTGCTCATTCATGCTAAGCCATAGTTTGACTTAACATTAAGAGTGAACCAGGCCATTATATTGTCCAGTTCCATTTGTATATGCAACCTTAGTGACAGGAAGCTGAATACAAAACTAATTTTGTTGAATACATAATCATTTTATGAATGCAATTTCATTGCTTGAATTTAAAACTAGGTGCTGGGGTCATGCAATTAGAACCATTCAGTTAGTTCATGAGCCAATACTGCAGAAGTTGAGGCTTCTTTGAGAAGCATATTTCTGACATGGCATGGGGGATGCTTGAAGAAGAAATAGTATAAAATCCCACTGGGTACACCCAAGGAAGCTCTTAGGTATTCCATAGCAGTTCGTAAATGACTTGTTTCAAATGTTGCAGTGGCTCATTGTGCCAAAGTTCCTTACTAGTAGCCTCTTGAAGGTAGAAAGCTATACAAGCTGAGGTCCTTCACCAGTTACAATACAGTCACTGTGTTTATGTGATTATGCAACCTTACCATCTGTTTTGCATAAGTAAAATGAGTAGATTATTGAAGGCCAGGATTATTACCAAAATCAGAAATGCAACAGAGATTTCTTTTATTAATAATAATAATAACTTTTCCAAATATAACCATGTTTATCTATGTATGCTTTTGATACACTTGCTAGATTATCCTTTAAATTGTGTGACTCCATGTGGGTTGAATGAACAAGTAGAAATAAGTTATACATCATCATCATGATCTGGCTTCTATGCCTTGGACAGAATACAGTTGTACATCCATCGTCTTTTCACAATTTATAAACTGTACAAATATTAGAAAAAACATATTTCATATGCCATATTTTTCTGTGTATAAGAGGCCCCCATGTATAAGACACCCCCTACTTTTGGGGACCCCAAATTTAGAAAACGGGCATATGCATTTTCCATGTATAAGACGCCCCCAGATTTTTAACATTATTTTAAAGTAAAAAAAACCCTAGTCTTATACACAGAAAAGTACGGTACAGTGGTATCTCTGGATGCAAACGGGATCTGTTCCGGAGCCCCATTTGCATCATGAGCAGAACACAACCCGCATCTGCGCAGGTTGCAATTCGCCGCTTCTGCACATGCTCGTGACATCATTTTGAGCGTCTGCACATGCACGAGCGGCGAAACCCAGAAGTAACCCTTTCTGGTACTTCTGGGTTGCCGCAGGATGTCACCTGAAAAGATTTAACACAAAGCGTCTTTAACCCGAGGTATGACTGTACTTCGCTTTTCAGACTTAATCTTTGGTCTGTTTCTGGTTCAGTGAAAGAGGGCTCTCTTAATTCCATAATTTTTGCAAGCCACAAAACTGTTACAAATGACTTCTACAGCCTCTTCATCATTTGTAGTATTGGTTTACTGAAATTGGTTTTAGATTATGTAGCCTCTAACAAGGGCTTTCCAGTATGTGCTTCTAAAGATACTTTGGCTGTCTTATCTTATATAATTTACATGGTTAGTACATTCATCTGTAGTGGTCATCTGTCTAACCTGCTCAGTCACTGGGCCACTTCGCTTACTGAAAAAAGGGGCTCCTTGAGTTGTATGGATTTTCCCCCTTACATCAGTAGGTAAGTTAATTAGAATTATAAGCCACAAAAATGAAGTGATCTTCCAGAAAACTCATTTCAGTATGGTATACTACTTTTGCTTCCTCTTTGTTGTAGCAAGTGCAATTATTTGAGCATATGAACTCCAGCTAATAGCTTATTTAAACTTTTTTTGGTAAGTCCTTCAAAAAAGTTTTTGTCAAGCATTATAGAATAATCACTAAATTGTCATATTATTTTTCATTACCAGTACAGCTTTTTGCTCATGGTGATTCTTACGGTAGCTGCAATTGTGTCTGTTTATACATGCAGCTACTTCACTTCCTCCCTCCATCTCCAAACACAGAAGTGCTCAAAGCAGATGACATAATAAAGAAATGGCCAAGGAAACAACATCAGTTTATGAATGAATGAATGAATGAGCAGAAAAACTGAGAGCCGGGACTAAGCAAAAAGAAAAACTGAGACAGCACCTAAATTAAGTACCCAGTGGAAAATAATAGTGTTCAAGAGGTGATAGAATACTAGGAGATGCAAGACAGAAAGTCCTGCATTTCAGGGCTTTTTCATAACTGAAAAGGGCTTTTTGTACCTCTCAACCAGCCATATCTCAGAAGGCAACATGATGTTCAGAATGGCCTCATCAGGTGTGAAGAAAAGCAGTCCATTAGATATTGTGGTCCTAAGCTGTTATACCGTTATCACCCTTAAATCCCATATTTCACAAATAAATAAAAATAATGTGTTAGGAATGACCTCCATTATCTTCAAACAAAAATTCATGGTAAAACAAATGTTCAAAAAAATCAGTTCAGAATTTTAGACACTTGCTTTGAAAATAAGATGTTTTATGCTTTTATGTTTCAAACAAGTTCAGGATGCAAATGTAATGTGTGAGCAGTTACAAGTAGGTAGCATGTAGGAGAACAAGGTAGTATTTATGAAGTTAAGGTAAATTTCAGTTTTAAAGTAAAAAGAGGTTATACTTGATTAGCAGTAAAGTGGTATAGGGTCTGAGAGGCATGAAATATAACTACCTGGTTTTAGGCAGCATTATCTGCATCATTATTTGTTACCTGATTGTAGTAAGGACAACAACAAAACTATCTAAAGTTTTAGGAAACTAACATTCTGTATAAATGTTAAATGAAATATACTGTGGCTATCCAATTATATGGTTTCACATTAGATTACCACAGAATCGAATCTGATCATCTTTAAAACAGTATCCAGGGCCACAATAAATATTTCTGTGCATTGTTATTTTTATTGATAAGAGGTGACCCAGCCTTCATTACATAGACTTCATTTGCAAATCAGGTTTTATAGATCAGCTTGTTTCGAAGCCAGTGATCTTCTCTCAATAATATACTTCGTTTTTGTTAACATGTTCCACCATGTCAACAGAACGTTAGTGGCTTATATTTAACTTTCAAAGTGATGATGGTAAAAGCTAACATTTTTTTTTTCTATTTATGGTTATTATTTTCTTTAAAGTGTACAGGAAAATTGCAAAATTTATTTGAAACAGTGCTTTCTAACTCCATTGAACCTACTTCTGTGAGCATGTCATTCCTTCCCCTCCACTGGATCTCTGTTAGTTCCTACCAGTTCAGAATATCAACTTTAAATTCTCTTTACATTTTTTGATATCTGTCCAGAATGCAGTGTACATATGGAACAACTTATCTAGGACAAATAAGTTGTGGTTTACTAAAGTGGCTTGGCTTGTTTCAGCAAACCATAGATAAATTACCAACGGTATGCATTCTGAAAATAATGCTGTTAAACTGTGGTCAAAATGGAGGTAAAAGCTTCACAAATCCTCCTCACGGATGCATTGGAAAGGGAGGGAAATCGTACAAGTCTGTGGGGAGACTAGGCTCTGCTCCACTTGTTCCCATTAAGTTAGTGGCAATGGGGAACATTTAGTCATCCAGATGTTGTTAGACTCCAACACGCATCCGCTGTAGCCAGCAGGTAGTAGTGAAGAATTATGAGAGTTATATTCTGGCAGGTAGCAGGTTCCCCATCCCTATATTATGGTAAACCATGGTTTCTCATGATGCCAGAATGAGCAAATGTAGTATGATTTCAAAATCTGAAATTTTGTCCATTTCAGTGGGGTAATTATGCAGGAAATACTGTTGAAGGTGAAAAAGAGGCATTGGCCTTTCCTTTTGATTTTTTTTTTTTAATGTGGCAGTATCATAGCAGTGAGGGCAGATTTTACATGATCCATATGTTACTATATATGCCAACTTGATCTGATCACCTGTTAATTAGAAAAACATCTCTTCCTTCTTCAAAAGCCTTCCAATTTTTGCATGCGAATGAAGACTGTGATCTTTTTATGCTGGGTTCTCCAGTAGCTAGTTTCGCATATATATACACACATACACATATTCAGTCTACAAAAATGAGATTTAAACTAGGTTGGTTTGTGGCTTGCTGTGGCATATAGACTGCCCTGATAAGGTAAAACTTTCTACAAGCTTATCCCCCCTAGATTTTAGTTCCTGAGCTATATGTTTTTTACAGGATTTACTCCATGAGAAATACAATAACCTTCTGTAGTGCTGGAAACTTCCAGGGAATATTTTCATGGGGGACTACATTTGCCATTTCTTGGAGCAGAAATGGCAGTTTTATTACGTTTCTTCTTTAGTTGTCTTGGTAGTGAGTTCAGAGACCATGCATCGTTGCTCAGACTTTAATTAGGAATAGAAAGGAGTTCTGAACTCTTAAAGGTATATTACTAAAGGCATTCAATGTCTGATCCACATATGTAGCAGGCTGCACAGTGGATACAGGCCAGGGTTTTTTTCCTTCAGATGAGTGTAAGCCTTGTTTTACAACCAACTAGAAAACATACCATCACTCCCAGTTAGAAGTTAGAATGATACCACTTGTTTCCAGTGTATCTAACAGCGGTATCTGTCCATGTAGTAACACTTTGCTGTGGAACCTTTTCAAATGCATTAATTCCAGGACTAAACAAGATGTGATATTTATAATGTGTTTTGATTTTGTGTGCAAGTGTGCGCACTTGACTGATGTCTAGTTTGGACCTTTGGCTCTTAACTGCATATTTAAACAAAAACATTGAATTATTTTAGCTGAACTTTAGTTGTCAATATATTGAATTAGTGAGATCAAACTTAGATGAAGTAGAAATCTAATTTTAGTTAAATCAAGGCAATATCCTGCAGTTCTATAGCCTATAAACAGAGTCTTGGCATGCCCCAGTTCCCTAACTCACTATGATATGCCATTTTCTATTAGTGTAGTTTTTCACAGAAGGAAGGATCATCACTTTGAAAATGGAAGAAAAATATCCTACACATGCTTATTTAAACTTTTACCTGCCATTAGTTAGTTTGACTTATCTGAACCTGCCTCAGAATCTCGATGAAAGAGGGTTGCCTTGTGTAGTTCTGCCTCATTATCTCCTCTGAAACATTTTTACAGCCACTTTAGAGTAGCATACAATATCCTAGTCAAATGTAGGCCAGAATTTCAAGATGTGGATAATTTTTGATGTCGCTTTTTAATTATATTGATATTAAGACTAGTATCATTTCTTAAGGCCTATCTTTCTCCCTTAAAACATTTCTGATTCTTCCAGCTGGCAGTTTTAAAATTATATGAGCTACAGTCCTTAGTACATAATGAGCTTATAAGGCTGCTTAACTCTTTAGTTTTCACTACTTCTTTAAAAGTCAACCACCTACATTGTACTTATGTGAGTTTTGTTGTCCCTTGTTCAAGTGTATGCAGATTCTTCTTTCCTGCCTACCTGCATCAGCTGGAAACCAGCCTTTGATTGCTTGAAAGTAAATCCAGGAGCTCTTGGAGGAAACTGATTTTCTAGATCCATTTCCATCAGAATTTAGGCCTGGTTTTGGCACAAAAAGTGTTTTGGTCGCCCTGTACAATGACTTCTGTTGGGAGAGAGACAGGAAAAAATTGTCCTTGTTAATTTGCCTTGACCTCTCAGCAGCTTTTGATACCATCCATTATGGTATCCTAGAGTAGCTGTCCAAGTTAGGGGTGGGTGGCACTACTTTGTGGTGGTTCCAGTTCTACTTGGATGGTCATTTCCAGAGGGTGATGCTTGAGGAGTGTTCTTCTGCCCTGGGAAGACTTCAGTGTGGTGTTCCTCATGCTTCAAGTTTAATATGTATATGAAATCACTGAGTGGGGTCATCTGGAGTATTGGAGTATGTTGTCAACAATATGGGGATGACACACAGCCCTACTTCTCCTTTACAACTGCAGGTATGGCAGCGGTTGTGCAGGGCTGTTGTATTGGCTCTGTAATGGACAAGATGAGAACTAAGAAACTGAAGCTCAATCCAGACTGAGGCAATGTTTGTGAGTGGCTCCCTAGATAGATGGGAGGATAGGAGGTAGCCAGTGTTAGAAACTGGGATAGAAAAACTAAGAGCCAAATGGCTCCTGGGAACTGGGTTGTGGGTGCCAAAACAGAATGTCTAGTCACTATTGTGGGGGGGTCGGAAACACTTTTTATTAATTATTTTGATAAGCAGGAACTAATGCACAATTCAAATAAGTGTCACATTGTTAATATCATATTTTAGCAGAAATTGTTAATACATGTTTAATTTGGTGTTTACAATAAAAATATTGGTACCATACTTCAGTTTTCAAAACACTCTACTTTTTGTTGTTAAACTCCTTAAAATATTGTCTACCATTAACATATACTTTGAGGCTTCAAAGCACATACATATCAGTAATCCTTGAGTGTTAGCCAGGCACAAAAAAATGGCACCCAGACTTTTTGAGGTGCTCGCAAATGGAGAATCTTTAGGTGCAAAATGTGCCTGGCGCCCTGCTAATTTTGAACCCTGGAGGTAGCCTGCTCTTCATGGGATTATACTCCCTCTGAAGGAGCTGGTATGCACCTTGGGGTTTCTTCTCAATCCATTGCTGTTGCTTTAAGGCTCAGTTGGCCTCAATTGTGTGGAGTGCCTTCCATCACCTTCAGCTGGTGGCCTACCTGCGGCCCCTTTCTGGACAGAGATAACCTAACTACTGTTGTCTGTGCTCTGGTAACATCTAGGTTAGATTACTGCAATATGTTATATGTGGGGCTGCCTCTGAAGATGGTTCAGAAATGTCAGCTGGTGCAGAATTCAGCCAGGTTGCTCACCAAACCATTTGAGCATGTAACATTAATGTTGGCCCGACTGCACTGGCTGCCAGTTGGTTTCTAGGTCCAATTGAAAGTGCTGATTTTGACCTACAAACCCTTAAGCAGCTCAGGACCAAAATACCTGAAGGACATCCTCTCCTTATGTGAACTGGCCCAGACCCTGCAATTATCACCTGAGACCCTTCTTCTGCAAGAGGTATGAAGGGTGAAAACACAAGTGTGCACCTTTGTTGTAGTGGCTCCACACTTACGGGGTGCTCTCCTCAGGGAGGCATTCCTGACATTTTCATTAGATGTCTTTAGGGGCCAGGCAAAAACATTCTTCTTCTCCCAGGCCTTTGGCTAATTAAACAATCTATTTTCTTCTAAACTGTGGAGGTGGGAGTTATTGGAGGGTTTTGGTATGTAGTTTTTGTGTTTTGTAAACTGCCCTGTGATTTTTGGATAAAGGGCGATAATAGAAATGTAATTGATAATAATGATAATCTGTTTTCTGTTTCTAAAACAAAACAAACCTATATCATGAACAATATGATTTGTAAGTGGCAGCAAGTTACAAAACATTCAAATAACATAATTTTAAATAAAAGGGACCTGTCTGTGAAGTACTCTACAAGTGGCAATTATAATATAAGAACAGAAATAACATTGTGCTGCAATGTAAGCTTAAAGCATATCAGAAATAAGGAACTACACAGGCAATGTCCTGGCAACTGCTAGTACTTAAGGGTCTAAAACTGATAACTTTTTTTACGGAGTATGTGTGGCTTCCTTTACCTAAAATGTTTTGAGATTGTCAACCACCTGGACTGGATAAGAATAAAAGAGCTGAAATTAAATTAGGATGAGACAGAGGTGCTTTTGGTCAGAAGGTATATCGGCCTGTACTGGAAAGGATTGTATTCCACTTACAGGACCAGGTTCATAGTTTAGGAGTACACCTGGATCTAGTCTTGTTATTAGCTGCTCAGATGTCAGGAGAGTTTCTGTTCAGCTTTGGCTGGTGTGCCAATCCGTTCCTGGTCCTGGTCATACATGCATACATTTTGACTGGGGCTAGTGGTCTGTCAGCTGCACTGGCTTCTATTCTGTTTTGACTGCAGTTCAAGATGGTGGTTATTTTGTATAAAACGCTAAGTAGCTTGAAACCAAGCTGCTCGAAGCAATGTCTCCTCTTATGTGAATCTGCCCTGTTCTTTAAGATCAGCTGTTGAGACCCTCTTTTGTGTACCATTGCCTTTTAAGGCAAGAACTTTCTCGGGGGTGGCACCCAATAAGCAGAACCCTGCCCCAAGAGGTTGGGCTATCTTCTCTATTTGGATTCTGCTGGCACACACTTTTTATTCTGCTGCTGCTGCTGCTTATGGTACTGATTGTGAATGCTTTTCTTTGTTTTATGCTGCTATTTTTAGTTAATAATTACTGATATAAAGGTATGGATTATGGTTACTTTTATGCTTGCATTGTATCTGTAAACTGCACTGAGCAACTCCTTTATTCAGGGGGAAGGGATGTGACTTTTAAAAAATAGATGTGTTTATTAACAAACCCTTCCCTTTATTTGGGAGGTCATAGCTTAAGGAATTGGTGAAGAATCTGGTTGAAGTTTGTTGAAGATTGGTAGCTTGGTGATGAAGTTGAAGTTGAAATTATAAATGCAGATTTCAGTTCGGTCATAAGAATGAATATTGTTATGAATTGCAGAGGGGGGTCAGTGTGAGTGATACCCTGGGTCCCTTGCAGTTGTTGGGATCATGTATCTGTGAGAGTGGAATGTTTAAGAGGAAGCTTGCCAAAGCAGTTCCTTTGTCAAACTAATAGCTTTGGCTGGCTTGTTAAGTACCATGATTTAGCAAATCCAAAGAAGTTGCCCTGTGCCATAGAAACAAATGGATGGGCCTTTCTCCATCCACATCACCTGGCTGATAGGTAGAAGAACAATAGCCAGAGTTGTTATTTGTGTAAGCTGAAAAGCTGGAGACTACGTTGGAGAACAGATATGCCTTCCTCTATGCTGGATTTTGTGGTTCTGCTTGAAACCTAGTGGAGAAGCAAGATCTGTTAGACTCGTGTTAGTGCTTGAGCCCCTCCATCCTATGTGCAGGTTGCATTTATGTGTAAATAAAACCATATACCCTGAAGACTGGTGTCTTTGCTGACCTTCATTGGAAGGTAACAGAACCTAGAGTAAAGTGCAGGCACTCCTGGAGTCTCACTTCTTGGAGTTTGAGATGGTGCCTAACAGTATTTTCAATTTTCACATTCCTTTCTAGCTTGGATCAAGAGTAGTATGCTGTTAGCAATGTCAGACTTCTACTCACCAAGTGGAACTCTGGGTTTGATCCAGGCTAACTTAGTTACATTTGGATCACATTGATATCTACAAGGCTTAAATCATGATTAATCCTGTTGAGATCAATGTGACAAATTAAAGTTCAGCTAAATTTGTTCAGATCCAATCCCATGTATTTGAAAAGCTGTCTGACAAATACATTTACATAAAATAAGTAGATTTAATTGCTTTAAAAAACCTATTAAATTTTACCTTTTCTTCTAGGTTTAACTACAGATCAACACATCATCTTGCGTCACATGGATTTTATGAATTCCTAAACTGGTTTGACGAAAGAGCATGGTATCCACTAGGAAGAATAGTAGGTGGGACTGTAAGTACCAGAAAATGTAATCAAGTTTTAAGAAAATGTCCATTTATAAATGAATACTGTTACTTCCATTCCATGTTATACTTTGAGTTTTTAACTCCATTTATATCAAATTTTAAAATTTCAATTACAGCAAGTATGTAAAAAATAAGCTGTTTTTCAATTAAATTTAAAGTGTTCATATTTATATTTATCTCAGTATTGAATCATGACCATCTAGCAGGACCAGGATCTGGGAGATCCAGATTCGAATCCCTACTCAGTCATGAAGCTCACTGGGTGATGTTAGGCCAGTCACAACCCCTTACCCTCCCTCACAGGGTCGTCGTAGGGATTAACTGAGGTGGGGAGTGAACCATGTGCTCCTTGGAGAAAAAGGTGGGATATAAACGTAATAAGCTCTTCTGCTTACCTGCTTAAGAAAGCTGGAGGGGCCAGCCAGATGGAGATGTCAGTCACCAACCTGGTGATCTCAGAAATCTCCACGTGGTTGCAGTTGAACTTGCACCAGTCACATAATGTGCTTGGTGAATTTCTAACTGGACAGAATAGTCCCTAGGACAATTCAATTTTAGAAATGTAATTTGGCTAGCTTTTATAAGAGAAAGATATTAGTGAGCTGCGTAGGCAGAAAAGCTTGTAGTTGAAAAACATTCATATGAGAAAATGTTCTTGCAAACAAAAGATTCAACTTCTATGTTTTTCATGATAGGGTTGTGGTAGAATATAATTGCTGTTGTACTGCAGAAATGTTTTGCATGAACCATCTCTGATGGATATAGATGTGTCCTTGAACACCAGTTAGCTCCTTTTTCAATCTAAGAAGTGCTGTTTGAGTAGATTTACAAGATGCTAGTCAATAAAGCGAATCCTTGCGCATTTGATCAATAAAACATTTAATGAAATCAATTTGTTCCTCTTTTTAAAAATCCTGATTTTTCTGTTCTGATTTGAATTATTATATCATAAAGCATAGCTCTGCCAATTTTTGCAGCAAACGGTGTCAATATTGCTTGATGTGGTTGTGTAATAGTTTTGGGTTACTCAGTTTAGCTTTATATTAGGGTGCGTTCCCTTAGTACATATAACCTATGCCATAAACTTTCAAAATCAGAAGTACTATTTCTGTAAATAAACTATTTGATGCTTTCTGCTGTGGCTTCAGCAAATGAAATTCAGTAAATAGGTGATAGCAATATTACTTTTGGCAACCCTGAGGAAGGGCTGTAGCTCAGCAGAACACCCACCTTGCATGCAGAAAGTCCCAGATTCAATCCTCAACCTCTCTAGGTAGGGCTAGGAACACCCCCTGTCTGAACCTCTGGAGAGCTGCTGCCAGTTGTGTAGACAGTACTAAGTTAGATGAACCAATGACCTGACTTGGTGTAAGATATTATTATTATTTTTTATTATTGATTGATTGATTGATATTAATATTAATAAATAATATTATTATTTATACCCCATCTGGCTGGGTTTCCCCAGCCACTCTGGGCTGCTTCCAACAGAATATTAAAATACAATAGTCTATTAACCATTAAAAGCTTCCCTAAGCAGGGCTACCTTCAGATGTCTTCTAAAAGTCTGGTAGTTGTTTTTCTCTTTGACATCTATTGGGAGGGCGTTCCACAGGGCGGATGCCACTACCAAGAAGGCCCTCTGCCTGGTTCCCTGTAACCTCACTTCTCACAGTGAGGGAACCGCCAGAAGGCCCTCAGAGGTGGACCTCAGTGTCCGGGCTGAACGATGGGGGTGGAGACACTCCTTCAGGTATCCTGCACTGAGGCCGTTTAGGGTTCTAAAGGTCAGCACCAACACTTTGAATTGTGGTCGGAAGCGTACTGGGAGCCAATGTTGGTCTTTCAAGACCGGTGCTATGTGGTCTCGGCGGCCGCTCCCAGTCACCAGTCTAGCTGCTGCATTCTCAATTAGTTGTAGTTTCCAGGTCACCTTCAAAGGTAGCCCCACATAGAGCGCATTGCAGTAGTCTAAGCGAGAGATAACTAGAGCATGCACCACTCTGGTGAGACAGTCTGCAGGCAGATAGGGTCTCATCCTGCGCACCAGATGGAGCTGGTAAACAGCTGCCCTGGACACAGAATTCACCTACGCCTCCATGGACAGCTGTGAGTCCAAAATGACTCCCAGGCTGCGCACCTGGTCCTTTAGGGGCACAGTTACCCCATTCAGGACCAGGGAGTCCTCCACACCTGCCCACCTTCTGTCCCCCAAAAACAGTACTTTTGTCTTGTCAGGATTCACCCTCAATCTGTTAGCCTCCAACCACCTCCAGACACTCACACAGGACCTTCACTGGTTCTGATTTGAAAGAGAGGTAGAGCTGGGGATCATCCGCATACTGATGAACACCCAGCCCAAACCCCCTGATGATCTCTCCTATTTGTCAGCTATCATATCTCATGGCCTTCCTTTTAGGCAATTCAAGATTTACAAACATATACAGTGGTGCCTCGCAAGACGAAATTAATCCATTCCGCGAGTATCTTCGTCTAGCGGTTTTTTCGTCTTGCGAAGCAACCCTATTAGCGGATTAGCGCTATTAGCGGTTTAGCGGCTATTAAAGGCTTAGCGGCTTAGCTGCTAAAAGGCTATTAAAGGCTTAGCAGCTTAGAAAAAGGGGGGGGAAAGCGAGAAAAAATCTCAAGACTCGCAAGACATTTTCGTCTTGCGAAGCAAGCCCATAGGGAAATTCGTCCTGCGAAGCGCATTGAAAAACGGAAAACCCTTTCGTCTAGCTGGTTTTCCGTCTTGCGAGGCATTCGTCTTGCGGGGCACCACTGTAATGAGGTATGTTCTTTTTAAAAAAGTGTCTGAAAGAATACAGGCCATCTGTGGTAGGATCCTTAGAAATACCCCCTTTAAAATATTTGCATGAATAGTCTCTCTGCTCCCCACCCCCAATCTTTTTGTTCCCCCCTGTAGAGGCTGCTTTTGAGATTGCTTCTCTTGTTTATCTTGTACCCTTTTCCCTAGCTGCTACTGGATTCATTTAGCTAGCTAGGGTTTAATGCTCCGGATTTTCTAGTTAATGGCCTATGTGCTTTTTGAACATTAGCTTTATGCTCATTTGGATTTTAAATACAATTAGATCCATACAGGCGGTGTTGAGAAAAATCCTGGGCCCACCCTCATAAAATAGGATTTTTTTGCTTGCAGTTTGTGAAAATCTTTTATAAAGCAATTTAGATTAAGCAGGTGTCTTTTGTTGTGTTCCTTAGCCATCCTTGAAACCCTGAATTATATACCATATTATATGTTGTTTTATAATATTAAAGCTAATTTAATGCTGATACTGAAAAATATATCTGTATGTTCAATTGCTACCAAAGAAAGTGTTAATGAAAATGTGTGTGTGTGTGTGTGTGTGTGTGTGTATTAAAAAGACGTTTGGCTCTAGTAATAGCTTGGTCTTATATGGGTTGTGGAAATAACAATCTCTTCTACATGTGGGTTACATTAATATATTTTAAGTCTTTCTGTAACATTGATTCAAATAGAAGAAAAATGCATTTTTCGTCTGCAATTTGGTAAATCACTTTTCCACTCTCTCTCCTAGGTCTACCCAGGGCTGATGGTGACAGCTGGCCTTATACATTGGATTTTAAATATGCTTAACATAACTGTCCATATAAGAGATGTATGCGTGTTCCTAGCACCAGTTTTTAGCGGCCTTACATCAATTTCTACTTTCCTGCTCACCAGAGAACTGTGGAACCAGGGAGCAGGGCTTCTAGCTGCTTGCTTTATTGCGATAGTACCAGGTTACATATCACGATCAGTTGCAGGGTCTTTTGACAATGAAGGGATAGCTATTTTTGCACTGCAGTTCACATACTACTTGTGGGTAAGTAACAACTCATGCTTCATAATTTTTATCTCACTGTCTTTTAGTATTTTGAATCTGTCTTCGTTGTTTCTGCCTTTTAAATTGGCTTTGATTTTAGATTTCTTCAATCGGGTACTCACAAGAAAGCAACGATTTAAAAATTTGAGGGCCTTTTTCGCTTATGCTAATTACTCTCTTTCCAAAAGAAAAAGTTGCATTGTTATATGGTAAACTGGTTTTGAACTGGTGAAATATTTCATGGTCTTTAGCTAGATACTGTTTGAACACTTCCTGCATTATGTCAAGGGCCAACTTATTCTTCAGGGCCTTTTAACTGGAGCAGAGCTTTCCGAACGTTTCATGTTGGTGACACACTTTTTAGACATGCATCATTTCACAACACAGTAATTCAGTTTTACTAGCAATCTGGAGGTTAAAGTAGGAGGAGCATGGGGAGTGTTCCCATAACACACCTACACACTGCAGCCGACACAATAATGTGTTGCAACACACAGTTTGGAAAGCTCTGAACTAGAGGGATCGCAAGTATAAATGATAAGAATTCAACAGCCATAAGCATTACTTTATTATTTATTTAAAACACACACACACCCTTCTATCAGTTTAACAAAACTCTCAGGGCAGCTCAAAGCAGTCATAAACAGTAGCCATGCAAGTTTCATTTAACATGTCATCAGTTTGAGCAAATTCCTAAACCCATGTTCCTGAAATAATGTTGATGGAAGTGGCCTGAACTAAGCCAATCCAAGACCTTTATTTCCTAACCTTTGAACAGTATCCTTTGTTAAAGGTAACGTTCTTGTAGATATGACTTTTAAAAGTGGTCTGATGGGGTCATGTTGACACTAATAGAGATCATAATTGGTTACATTAGAGATAGTAATGGCGCATTAGTCTATTGCTTTCCCACCTGCTTGTTCTCTGCTCCTAATCTATTTTCTCCCAAGTCCCATTTCCTCCCACAGGATTCCAAACATGTGTTAACCCTCAGAGGTATCTTGGGAGAGGTGAGGTGTAGCAGCAAAGTAATATGAGGGCATGATTAAGAACGGTCTCCTCTCCCCTCTCCCCCATTGCTGCTTCATTCTAAATCAACTCCTGAACTGGCTTTTCCCTACAAAGCAGATTTGATCATCAGGATATCATTACTTAGAAGTTTGTGTAGTTTAGACCCTAAAATTGTATTACACGGTCTAACACATGTTTAAAAGTGCAGTAGAAGTCATAATCAAACATTAAAAAGTTTAATAGTTAAAGTTGGTGACATTTTGCTATTGTTACAAAAATTGAGCTATACAATATAATTTAATACATAATGCAACTTTAATATTAGTATATATAATACAAACATAACAGATAAGCTCATATAGGACTGCACCCTAGTGTGTGTGTGTGTGTGTGTGTGTGTGTGTGTGAGAGAGAGAGAGAAAGAGCATAAGCCATGCCCAGCTGTGGCATGAAGCCCACAGTGCATTGTGTATTGGGAAATCTTCAGTGCACGTGTGCCTGGAGAACATGTAACACCAAACAGTTGTTTAATACTATGTCGGAAGCATATCAGTGTGGTAATGGAATGAATAATCTCCCAGTAAAGTACCTTAGTTAATTCTGATGCAAACCTTAAAAGTATATTTAGTTCAACCTCTGCTCTTAATTGTTGTTTTTTAATTTGAATGATACATTTTTTCTTGTTTCTGCTGAGTTATAACACAAATCACCATTTGTAGGTGAAGTCTGTGAAAACTGGATCAGTCTTCTGGACCATATGCTGCTGCCTATCCTACTTTTACATGGTAAGTGGTATCCTAAATAATGTACATAATGTGACTTTGAAATCATTTATTGGCAGAACCCAAATGTGCAAGTCACATTCTTTATTTGTACACTGTAATTGCTTTTATTAATAGTATATTGGAGCAACATTTAAAGATAGAAAAAAGTCTAACAGCACTTGTCTGAAAACACTGACTTTATAAATATGATGGTAGGTTTGAAAAGTTTGTTTAACAGAAAATGCCTCTTCACTTTAGAGAATTGGTTTGCATTTTGTATCTTGACTGAAGTTAGTTGAAGATTTATTTTAAGCATGCCACTTGCCCAGTTTGCACCTCACATCAAAGAGTGAATGAGCAGCATAGTTGTGCACCCTATTAAAATGTTCCTGTGGTACTTAGCATATGTTGCTGCACTGAGAATGAAAGAAGCCAGAGTCATCCAAACCAAGGCTCCTGGTTAGTTTCTTCCAAATAAACCGTGATCTGCAAATCTTGGTCACCACAGGCATTTGTTTGAACAACACAACAGGCGAGATTCTGTTTATTCCGCAGTATGGCGTCAGCAAGAGAGGTGTGCTGTGGGTACCAGAGCAGGGTGCATCAGCACATAGCTTATTTTAAACTTATGCTTTACTGTGGTGTGTGAACTAGGTCTCTCTAATCCTAAAGACCAGATGAACTGATTTGTGCTGCTGCGAGACTATTCACTGCAGTCTTTAAAATCCAGCAGAAATCATTTGCTCCAAATGGGGAAATCTAAAATGTGTGGAATCTAGAAAGATCTTTACCTGGCAGTGCAATGATCTTAATGAGGGTGCCAGGTGAGTCTCATTGGGGAAGGATGCTCTGTTTTCAGAGCGCCTCCATCAAAAATGCCCTCTGCTTAGTAACCACCCACTTCAGCTCTTAAGGGAGACGAGGAAAGAACCCAGAGAAGGGCCTTAAGTGACTTTCTCAAGATCCAAGCAGATATATTTATGGAAGGAGGTAATAGTTTCAGTACTATAGCTAACACTAGTTTTTTATTTAAAGTACTTCACTCTGGATTTTGATATATATGCTAGATTATTAAAGTTAAGTGTTTTTCTTCTTAAAAGTTGCTACATTTGGAAAATAACAGATACAGTGGAACCTCGGGTTGTGAATGTGATCCGTGCTGGAGGCACGTTCGCAACCCGCAGCGCTGCGTCTGCGCATGCGCGGGTGACAATTCGGCGCTTATGCTCAAAGCGCAATTTAGCGCTTCTGCACATGTGCAAGTACCGCAACCCGGAAGTAACCCATTCCGGTACTTCCAGGTTCAGCACGGTGCGCAACCCGAAATTGTGTAACCTGAAGCATCTGTAACCCGAGGTACCACTGTACTTGGTTGTCATATGTGTGACCAGGCTCTCAGTGGTGCATAAGGTGTGGATGCTACAGATCTGTTCATACTTTGTTTGTTCACTAGTGTTAATCACTATATCCTTTCATAGTAGAGGAAAACATTGCAGTTCTTATTTTGACATTGTTGGTAAAATGAATAATGCGTCTAAAATTCAACTAACTGGCAAATTGCTTAATGTTGCAGTCTTCTTAATTGGAGTTAATGAGTTCCTGCTTGATAGTATGTCCCCCGTTTTATTTACTCTTTTATTAAATTTACAAATACATTATAATGTATTATATATAAATCACAAAAGTAGTTCTTTATGTTAATACATAATAATTCATATTAACAGTAGTAAAGTGATGGTTTGTATAATTTTCTGGAAAACATTTCACTGAGAGCCATGATGTAAAATCTTAACTAAGGCATACCCAGAGTAGATCCAATGAAATCAATGGACTTAATTAAGTTAATTAAGTCCATTGAATGGGTCTACTCTGAGTACAGCTAACGTTGAAGGTCACGTACAATGTGTATAATCTGTGTAAAAGACTAGTTGAGGAGGAATAAGTAAAAAATGCTTCCTGGATCTGCTTTCTACTGAAATCTTTCTGTCCTGTGGATTTTTCCTTGTGGCCTGGATTATCTTGTCTTGAAGACAAAATTCAATTCATGTTGGTTAGTTTAATGGTTTAACAATAATGTGTATAAATTAGCATTATGTTCTGATATGTTTATTTTTCAGGTTTCTGCATGGGGTGGTTATGTTTTCATCATCAACCTTATTCCACTGCATGTATTTGTGCTCCTGTTGATGCAAAGATACAGTAGGAGGGTCTACATAGGTGAGTGTTTTGATTTGCTGAGATTGAATGAAAAGTGGGGGTTTTCCCATTCTTAATCACATTACTTCCTTTTTCAATTTAAATGACTATGAATTTAACTTAATTTAAGTGGTTACTTTTGTCTAGTTACAGGCAAAATCGTAAAACAGAATTATTAGAATTCCAATAAGGTTATTAGAATTATTAGATTTGTTTTACTTTTTAAATCATCTTGCATTGCATTGCATTGCTTATTGTTTCTGCCATAAGGAAGCTTGCTTATTTGTTTGTTTGTTACAAATAAATATGCTTAAGGCAGCTAATAACCAGAGTAATAATACTTCAAAATGAACAATGTAGTCTAAACAAAATGATAATTTAACATGGCAGTCATTCATCTCAAGATAATTTTTCAGAAATGTATGCAACTTTCTTACTATTACCAGTGTGTGACAGAACTGTTTATAATGGGACTGATGAAGCTGGTAATGAATGACAGTTGATCATCCCAGTGCAATGATATCAGGCATTGTCCCTGCAAGTAGCTTTGATTCCACCCTGAGAAGGAGGCAACTAACCTCTCAGTCTCTGTCCCCAGTAGGATGTATAAGTGTGAGAGGAGCTTTATACTAATCTTGTCTGCTTCGCTGTACAATTTGGTGTCCTGAAGCTGATGGATGCCATGTATTAGACCAGGGGTCAGCAAACATTTTCAGCAGGGGGCCGGTCCACTGTCCCTCAGACCTTGTCGGGGGGCTGAACTATATTTTGAAGAAAAAAATGAACAAATTCCTATGCCCCACAAATAACCCAGAGATGCATTTTAAATAAAAGCACACATTCTACTCATGTAAAAACATGCTGATTCCCGGAGTGTCCGCAGGCTGGATTTAGAAGGCGATTGGGCCGGATCTGGCCCCCGGGCCTTAGTTTGCCCACCCATGTATTAGACATTGCTAGGGCTTTTCCTTGAGTTCCTATGCTCTGTTCTATCCCAATTAATTCTGCACTTGTCACACAAATGAAGCCCTTTTAAAAAAAGGCCAACTGCACAGTGGAAAAATTGCAATTCTGCTGTGCTAAAAGGTGACATGCTACAGTGCATTGCATTCTGTAAATATGTGTTCTTCGATTGGAGATAAGTCTCTTGTGTTGCCTTTTACTATTAAAGAGCAATCAGAGGCCTGTATGCAGCCGTAATGCTGGGCACTATAGCACTAATATGGTGATAAAACACTTCCTGCTCTTACAGCTTGCATTTTGAATACCTGACTTTATGTGATGTCAGGTGATTGACTGATGGTCACCTGACAAAAAATGGACTGAGGAGGGTATGTGATTCAGTATCTCGCCCCTGACATAAACGTTCAGGTCGGACATTCCACATACAAGCGAGCAGCAAGAAAGAATGAAATTATGTGGGAAAGAAGCCTGGTATGATTTTCTTTTTTGCAGACACACATACAATAACAAAAAAACTAATGGGGCATGGTCTAATTTGCATCGCAATCTTGTTCAGGATCATTTGATGTTCACAGAACTTTTCCGGAATGTAAATTCTTTGCCAGAATTGGGCATATTTTATGGCTTTTGTAAATGGATGTAAACTGAGATTCTATTTGACCTACTTGGCATCATAACTACAATGCTGACTAAACTCCTGCTGACTGCTCATGCATATTTGATGCAGAGTTATTGATGTTGACATCAGTGTGACTACTTTTGAATCAGTTTAGGAAAATTGCAGAAGATTTTCTGCAAGTGCTTAGCTGCAAAAGGTTACAGTGCTGAATAAAAGGAAAAAAACCTTCATAAACAGAATAAGCTCCCTGTGATCTATTTTAGAGCAGTCTAGCGGTAAAGGTAAACATTTGCAACAGTAGTAGACAAATATTTGTCACAATTTAGAGCTTTTAAATCTAGTTTCAAATAACTTTGAGAGGATGTAAAGTACTATATACATGCAGAAAACTAGTTTGAATCAGAAGCAACATTGTAGACTTAATTCTACGCACGGACATATTGACATTAAGAATAGAATTTGGTCACGTTGAACAAAGCTGATTGTCTTTCAGTCTTTTTCTCTTTTTTGTTTAGGACAACAGGCTTTTTGGCTTGTTACTTTTAAGCAATTTTAATGTAAACATAATTTTAAGTGATCCTTCACTATAGCTGACTTCCATACCAAAGCAGCTGGCAGAATTTCGATGTTCAAGTTTATTAGCTAGCAATTAATAACACATTTCAAGGAAAATGAACAATATAATGGAAATATCCAGACTGAATTGAAGGACTATTTATCATTCTATACTCAATGAGGATTGATCATGCCCAGTAGCTGCAGAATACTGATTATCTGTTGGAGGAGGGGAAGAAGAAATACAGTGGCTATCCTGGAACAGGGTGTGTAGGAGTCACTCTTAATGCTGCAACAACTTTTTTAGGTCCCACTTTTAATGCATATTTCATAGAAAAATGCTCAGTAGCCAATGTTATGGATATCCAGTGGACACGAGAGAACTTATGCTTCCTTTTCTTGCTGCGGTGTCTCCCACCTGTCTCTTCTGTACGGTCCTCCAACCCTCCAAAGCAGTTTGGGGGTGGGGAGGTACGTAGGGAAGTATAGGGGTGGCCAGTTCCATAGTGCAAGGGGAAGGCTTTTGCAAAAGCCCATTACACAAGCAGGATGACACCATGGGATGTTGCTCGCTAAGATAACCGGTAAAATAGTAGGCACATCGTATTACTTTTCTCATATCACTGCTTTTAACTTCATATGCACATGTAATGTCCTTTGCTTGTTAAGGGAAGTAAAATGTATTCTTATACTGCTTAGAAAGACATATATGTGATGTGCTATAAATAGCAGGATTTCTACTTTCTTTTACTCTTGTATAGTCTACATTGAATGCTGCCCCTTCCCTTCAACACTTGGCTAACATATAGCATAAATCTGATTTTCTGCTTATATGCATAAGAAAGCAACTTTTGAATTGTTCAACAGGATAACGCTTGCCGCCTTTGCATTGAAAATAAGTGGAACAAAGTAGACCCATAACTTCTTCTTTTTTCACATGGTTTTTCACATACCCATTTGTCATAATACTTAATTAGCTGGACAGTTTTGTTAGTTATTAGCAAACGGAATTTGCCATTGTATTATTGAGCAGCACTGAAACTTCCTTGTAGGTTAGTCCTTTCGAGTGTAGGATTGAATGTTTCATGAGGAGATAATGAATAACTAAGACATCTGGTATTATGTTTAGAAAGGTTACAGCAATCAGGATCATCTTGATAGATGGACATTGTTGTTATGGTGTTTTTCCAAAAGATTCTTCTAGTGAGAACAGCCCATCCTTCAGTTTCTAACTTCTCTGAGACTGTATTCTGCCAAAGGTGTCCTCAAAAAGAAACTTGAGTGGTGGAAGATTTTCAAAAGTACTTAGTGTATTCAGGGAAGACTAGCAACGCTCTGTTTGCTGCCAAAGGACTGGTAACGGATGGTGCAAAAATCTTGTATCATTGTATTCTGATAGCCTTTAACTGAAATTTGTAAAGCAGTCAGTAAATGAATTTCTGTGCTGCTGAAATACACCTAAGGCCCTTAACCTGCCGGTGAGTGTGAGCTAACCATATCAGGAAGTCTGAGAAAGGGAGGTCCAATGTCCATTTACAATTCAAGCTAACTGTGCTCACCGTCTAATTATACAGTCTAGACCCGACTGTTCTGCTTTCATCATGCTGTGATGTATCTAAAGAAGCAAGCTCATCAAAACTGAATTATTTCAAGGTGAAGTTTTTATAATTAAAAACTCTTTGGCAAGAGATATGTAGAGGTTAAGAGGAGGGTGCTAATCCTTTCCCCATCTGATATCTTCCCCCCCAAAAAAGAAATCTGATTCAGAGTCTGCTTTCTGGCCAAATAGGAAAAAGTAGCTGGGGAAAGAGTTATAGACAAGCAGCAACAATTAAACATCTCCCAGCACTACCAGTTTGGGAATCCTGCTGGCTGATGAGTATCCTTTTTATCCCCTGCTAGCATCAATATTGGGAAGCAGGTGGCGCTGTGGGTTAAACCACAGAGCCTAGAGCTTGCCAATCAGAAGGTCGGCAGTTTGAATCCCCGCGACAGGGTGAGCTCCCGTTGCTCGGTCCCTGCTCCTGCCAACCTAGCAGTTTGAAAGCACGTCAAAGTGCAAGTAGATAAATAGGTACTGCTCCAGCGGGAAGGTAAACGGCGTTTCCGTGCCCTGCTCTGGTTCGCCAGAAGCGGCTTAGTCATGCTGGCCACATGACCAGCTGTACGCCAGCTCCCTCAGCCAATAAAGCGAGATGAGCGCCGCAACCCCAGAGTCGGTCACGACTGGACCTAATGGTCAGGGGTCCCTTTACCTAGCATCAATATTATAGAGCAGTGGTGGCCAACTCCCAAGAGACTGCGATCTACTCACAGAGTTAAAAACTGACAGTGATCTACCCCCTTTTTTTGAGTTCAGGTCCCATTTTTGGGGGGCTCGGGTCAAAGTTACTGAGTTTTTTCAGGGAGGAGGAAAAATGTTGAGCTTCTTTTAGAGGAGCCACAGTTGTTCAGCTTCTTTGGGGGGAGCCAATGATCTACCAGTGATCTACCTGTTGGACATGCCTGTTATAGAGGATGGAGGAAAATTCTTTATGAAGGTATCATTGTGAAAAATGTGGCAGAATTGCAAAGGATATTGGGATGGCATGGAATGGGTCTATATTCCCTTCGCACAGACTTAGGAATCTTATTAGCATTTTCATATGAGCAAACAGTAATAAATTTGTTTTTGCAGCCATCTAAAGTGTTACCGGGTGGGGGAGTTGATGTGCAGAATTAATAAACTCTTGTAATTAGCATAATGGAAGAACACAAAACTGTAAATGTGACAATGGATCCTAATTGCTGTTAAATGCCACAGGATGGCAGTGTTGCAATAATTTTGTGACATGAATTTCAAAATAGTGGCAGGCTTGGCATTTTTAGAGTTATGTGTGTAAATATCTTGGTTAGATGAAGATACAAACCCTGAACTGAAAGAAAAAGGGGAGAAATTATGCAAAAAGGTATGCCATTGATCACTGTGTGTTTCTGTGGTTTCCAACACATTGTCTATTGACTGAAATGTTTTGATAAATGAGTCTTAGTGAAATGAGTTGTGTTGTGCAAAGATCATGACATTTGAAATAAAGCTGCTTGATTGAGGATGCAAAAGTATAATGAACATAGTCCACAATTATAAGGAAAGCTGGTAGAGGTATGTTGTGTTCATAAACTGGGAAAATATCAAATATATTAGCAGCTTTATTCTGAATATCCAGTTTTACCAGGGCATTGTTATGTCAGCTTGCCTAGATGGAGCTTCAAAGAAAAAATAGTTGGCAATCTACATACAATAATAATTATTATACAAGCTGGTTAAGCTCACTTTTGCTGTATTTTGGACATCCACAAAAATGCATGTTATGCAACTAAACTGCTTGGTGCCCAAATATCTGTAAGCGTGCCTCCAATACCAGGCAATTCAGTCTTTAAAATTGGTGGCAAGGGAAGGAGCCTCTGTTTGGGTCCAGGTCAGGGTTCATAAGTGGGGAGGATGTAGAAAGACCTTCTCTGTGGTGCAGCCTCAACTTTCAAATAATCATCTTCATTGTGTCTCCCTCATTGTTGGTTTTCAGATGTCAATTGAAAACATTTTTATTTATACAGGATTTTGCAGTTTCATAATTGGATGTTTAATCCTTAGCAGCAACATGTGACTTCGTGTTTTATTTTAGCTTATACATGGTTTTTATTCATATATTTTTGCTTTTTAAAAAATTCAGAGAACATTTATCCAAAAGTTACAATATAGTTACAATACATTTTCGATCAATATTTTTGCTTTTGTGCTTGCTGTATATTTTCCTGCAATCAACATAAGAATATCACCAAGGCAACTATCTGTAAACAAACAATAAACATCCATAAAAATGGCAAAATGTAGTTTCTGTCCCAAGGAGATTTTACCTTGAACAATTGCAGACGTAGGAATAAAGAGTCCACTTGTGATATACCAGTTGTTCAGTGCTTGGAAGTCATTCCGTTAACCAGACGACAAACTGAAGGACATGGTCCTCTTTCTATGCTCCTCCCGATGGAAACATGCAGATGGGGACAGATACACCCCTGCTTTAAGTCCTAAAATTATGAGTATTGCTTTTAACTCTGTAGTATGTGTTCTCCCTCATAATTTTAAGCACAGACAAAATTAAAACTTTCTCTGTGTGCATAATAATTTTCCTTTTTTGCTGTTTTTCATTCACAGCATATAGTACTTTCTATATTGTGGGCTTAATATTATCCATGCAGATACCTTTTGTTGGATTTCAGCCAATAAGAACAAGTGAACATATGGCAGCTGCAGGTAAGAAAATTATTATTATTTTATATATTAAATTTACCGTATTTTTCCGTCTATAAGACACCCCCGTGTATAAGTTACCCCCTATTTTGGGGGACTCCGATTTAAGAAAATTGGGGGAGGATCTTACCATGTATAAGACGCCTCCAAATTTTGGACATTATTTTTTAGGAAAAAAACCTAGTCTTAAACACAGAAAAATATGGTATGTTGTCTTACACCAGAGCCTCAAGGCAATCTACAATAAAATTATTTAGGATCCAGTGCACTTCAGAAAATCCCTAAATAAAATAACTGTTTAATGCATTGAAAATACTCACTATGAAGGTGTTACTCTGTATTGTAATCAGTCACACAGACACTATTTTGGCTGGTAACCAAATGACAGCCAAATGTGGCATATTTGAGCTAAAGGGATCCACAAGAGAATTGGAGTTTTTGTTTACTTATGGGAACAGAGTATTGAATGGCGTACCTCACTGAAGGGCAAAATATAAGCAGTTAAAGGATGGTAAATATATTTGTCTCCTGTTTACAATCCACACCCCCTTGACTTCCTATGCCATGAAAGGATAATTAAAATTAATGAGCTTAGAGTAAGGATTGAAATGTTGTTTGAGAACTTAAACCAAGGTTGTCTTTCTTTAACCAGGTGTATTCGCACTGCTGCAGGCCTATGCCTTCTTGCAATATATGAGAGACCGGCTTACAAAGCAAGAATTTCAGACCTTGTTCTTCCTGGGTATATCTCTAGCTGCTGGAGTTGTATTCTTGAGTGTCATCTATTTAACATATACAGGTAAATCATACAAAAGAAATGCTTTTCATTGACAAATAGAGTTTCAGATAGGCCCTGAGTAATCCACAAGATTCAATGAGCCCTTCAGGCCTCCCAACAATGTTTGCATGATTCAAAAGAAACTTCAGCAACCTTATCTATAGAAACAGCATTTGGTGTAATAGCTGGCTTTTTGCACCCATTAAAGCATTTTCAAAGCAACTTGCTTTTCTTTCTTTTTTTAGGACTGCTTTAGTATTTCCTTCATTTTCTATTAGTTTAAAACAAAAAACGGTTGTCCTTCTTGAGGGTCTTTCTCCTTTTGAAACATGTGAAAAGTAGATATTGATCCAAGCCTTTCTAGAAATCCATAATAATGCTCATCTACTAACTTAAATTGTTTTGTTGAAATTTTCAGGTTACATTGCACCATGGAGTGGCAGATTTTATTCACTATGGGATACTGGGTAAGTAGAATAGAAACAGCACCATACATTTAGGCTATGCTGAGTGGGTGACAGGTTTTATCCATTTCAGACAAACCTCCTGAACTATGGTCTATTGTTATGAGAAAACTGTAAGCTTCCATTTGCTGTTTGAAACAATCTGCAGTTTCCCATTAAATCCAAATATGAGCAACTCTGACTTACGCAAACTACAGTGAGTTCATTCAGTCGTTTCATCCCTTGGTTTCATTTGAACAAACCACTGCTCTCTGTATTTGTACATTGAGAAACTTCTGAATTGTTCCAGATGACAAAAAGAAGCATTAAATTTCCTCCCCTCACAGGTGAAGAAAGAGGGAAAGTGTTTCAGAGTTTATTTTTGTATATTTGCTATATATGTCGTGCATATCAATAGTAGAATTATGCTTAGCTGTGAGTCCTGGAAGACCTGTTCCCCGCTTGCACCCCAGTGTTCAATTGCAGCTGCCTCCCACCCTAAGCTCTGGAGTATATGAAAGACCCAAGCAGGCGAGGGTACTCATGGGCAAATTGTGTCAATGTCCCGAGCCATTTGGATGTTCCAGATGTTGGTCAGGGCTTCAATCAGCCAGAAAATCCCCCAGAAACCCATTGGATTCATCAGTCTCTTGAGGGCTGACCACGTTGATAGATCCCCTACCTCTACAGAGGGGGAAAAGTGCTGAAAATCTAAATCTCAGCAGGAAATGATCTGACCACCTTTTCACCCTCTTCCTGCCCAGTTGAGGAAAAAGGTCCAGAATGTAGCCTGCCATTTGCATTGGGCTGGCAGTCTGAGGGTCCTCTGCAGCACCTCTGAGACCAGCTTAAGCAGGCAAACTGCTGGGCAGATTCCCCCCACAACTGGGCACAGAGTGTGTGGAGAGAGAGAGATGAAATCTCTGTAGACTACAGCAACACCCCAACCCAACCCTCAAGTCTGTCCTGATGCAGCACTGAGTACCCAAGTGGGCACAGCTAGGTGAGACCAACCCCACCCTACTCGCCCACCCAGGTTCCAGTGATTCAGGACCAGATCATGGATGAGGGAGGTCTTACTGAGAGCCAACGTGGCATTCAGCAACAGCAGCCACAGACCTGAGGGCTGACTGATAGCACAGCCTCAGTTCCCCAGGTTCGAGAAGGGACTGGCACATGGCTCAGTTACTGCTTGTGCTGTGTGCCCCTTACCCCTAAACAGGGATGTGTCTGATCATTTGATCCACACACTTTGCTCACACTTTGGCAAGGCGACATAGGGAACCTTTGTAATGAGAATAGGTTTTGGGCAGTTTCTGGGGTTAAATGAAATGCATTTTAGCTAAAAAATAAATAAGTAAATGTTAACCTGCATATTTAAAGGTGTATTCAGAACGTTACAAAAATAATTGAAGAATGTTCAGTAGTCCTCGGTTGTACTATCTTTAGTAGTTTCGTCACTTCAAAATAATTTGAACTGAATTTTTTTTAAACAAGGTATGCGAAAATTCACATCCCGATCATTGCCTCTGTGTCTGAACATCAGCCTACAACATGGGTTTCCTTCTTTTTTGATCTACATATTCTCGTGTGTACTTTCCCAGCAGGGCTGTGGTTCTGTATCAAAAACATCAATGATGAGAGAGTCTTTGGTAAGAAGAAGTAACCATCTTTTCAGAACTAAACTATAAGCTTTAGCTGAAATGCTGATGTCCTAGTTGTTAGCTTAGATTCATTAGCTTAGTTTACTGCTGTTACTTCAGTGTTGGGTTAAATGCATTTCCTCAGGAAGTAGATATGTTTCTTAACGTGATTCCTTTTGATTGAACTTCCTTTTAGAATGGCTTATACTGAATGCTTCCACTGTGAATATACAAGTAGAATCTTCTCACTAAATGGCTAATGCAATTTTATGTATTATTTCATACATTTATATACCGCTTGATTGTAAGGGGAAAACCCTCAAAGCGGTTTGCAAAAAATATTAAAGAATAAAATGATAAATATGATTTATGGTAATTTAACAGATTATCTATTCATCAGCAAATAAACTCTACAGTTATTTTAGATACTTTTGTTTGCAAATTGATGACTCTGCTCATAATATGGTGAAATTCCAGTGATTCCAGAGGTGAGACTTGGTTGGTTTCAAATGGAGGGGGGGGGGGAGAGAAACCTTTCCATCACTGTAGTTACAGGTAATTTTAAAATGGGCATTGCTATAGTTAGCTGCTTCTGAAATTATACCTGTCTTTAGTTTGCATAAGCTTTCCACCAGTGTAGGGTTTGTATTAGTATGCATTTTAATCCAGTGCAAGAAAATTACTTTATTCAAATTAATTTGTAAAAATGCTATTAAAATGCTGCTTGTGAGAACTTTTAAAAACTTCTTTCCCTTCTAGTTTTAGTGCAGTCAAGTTTCAGGAGTTCACAGAAACCTTGTGAAGTAATTTATATGCTTTGGTAAAGCTACTCTTTTGTCCTTCAGATCCTAGTAAACTGAGATGTCTTTTAGCAAGATAACATACATATTGATTTGGTTCTGATTAATTTTCCATATTTTTTTGATAAACAACTGAAATCCCTTTTTAAAGTTCAGAAATATAATCTATAATATATTTCAAAGGTAGGTTCAATTCTGTGCACACAGCAGATTTTAGGAATCAAATCTGTAAGCTTCAAGTGTACAGTAATTGTGCTTATTTCTGAAGTGGATAGTAATCAAGATTTTAAAATGTCCTATAGTAAATCTCAGTGTCTTTATTTCTCTACAGTGGCTCTATATGCAATCAGTGCTGTTTACTTTGCTGGAGTGATGGTTCGTCTTATGTTAACTTTGACTCCAGTAGTCTGTATGCTGTCAGCAATTGCTTTCTCCAACGTTTTTGAGCATTATTTGGGTGATGATATGAAGAGAGAGAATCCACCAATAGAAGATAGCAGTGATGAGGACGATAAAAGAAACCCAGGAAATCTTTATGATAAGGTGGGACTTGAAGATCTAGATGGCTTCCGATTTTAGATATTTTTTTTAAATAAATGAATCCACCTTAAAAGCAAAAACAGAGAGAGCAAAATGGTTGCATGTGTAGTGCTTCTGTTCTGGCCAAGGGGTTCTAAGTACTCCATTTCTCCCCCTTCCCCCAATTTTTCATCTCCTTCCATCAGTCACGCTTACTGAGCATGTGCGGTCTTCATTGGCTTTTTCTGGGGAAGCAGCGGACACACTACTGCTCTGTCGCTGCTACATTAAAATGTTAGATAGCTTTCAGTTCCATCCCTGGGGACGTTTTAAAATAGGCTCTCAGTATCAAACAGTTCTTTCTACCCTTTATAGATGCATCTCTCTCCCTTTCCAGCCATTCTGTTCCATTCCCTTTCACACTCGGTTGTCAATTGTTTCCTTTCAGTCTCACAGTGGGATTGTTTTGGAGGTTCATTCCTTTGTTTGTTTTGACTAAAGGTGGGTTGTTGTTTTTTTTAGCAGCGTAGCTTTTAGCTGCTGCTTCCTATCTGCGCTGGTGATGCAGGTTTTTGTACATAAGCACGACTACAAAAAGACCTGAACCCTTTTTAGAAGGGGTGATGTTGCTTTCCAACTTTTGCAGATGAACTGAAAAATGTAAGGAAACAAAATCTCATTCATGCAGATGTTAAATGTGGACAGATTTATGCCACCCCACTACCACACACTTTGGGGGGGGCTGTTTTTGTTTGAGATACATCAACAATTACTAGTGTGCTTTTTAAAAAAACAACCAGTAGAAGACAGCTTCTGACATCCCTAATAAATAGGCATTTGTCTAGCACATAACTTGGAAAACAACCCATGAGGGAAGGTTCTAGAAATGTGGCTTTATTGCTGAATATGGGGCTTATAAACCCTAAAAGCCTGGCATAAGCTGAAAGGCCCCGAAATTCTAATTTGTTTTTGTTCAGGCAGGTAAAGTGAGGAAACACATATCTGAACAGGAGAAAACAGAAGAGGGTCTTGGGCCGAATATCAAGAGCATTGTGACAATGTTGATGCTCATGCTGCTGATGATGTTTGCCGTTCACTGTACATGGGTAACTAGCAATGCTTACTCCAGTCCCAGTGTCGTCCTGGCCTCGTACAATCATGATGGGTAAGGCGCCCCATTTTGTATGCATCTTAGTGTGAGTTTAATAACTGTGTGAGAATGGTTAGGAATGCAAAATACATCACGTGACACATTGGCCTGACCCCTGTTCTCCACGGACTTGTAACTTCTGGCTTGAACTACTGCAAATTCAGAATGCCACTGAGGTTGTTGGCTAGTTGCAGCTAGTGCATAATGCAGCAACTCGACCGCTCACTGGGGTATCTTATCACCATCATGTTATGCCACTGCTGGAAGAATTGCACTGGCTGCCAATTAGCTACCGAAATTCCAGATGCTGGAAGTGATGCGCAATACCCCATACAGCTTGGGTCCAAGATGCATTTAAAAATCACCTTATTACTTCAATACACAACCAGTCACTGCTCTCTGCGAGAGCATCCTGCAGATGCCCTCCCAACCAGGAGGTTCATTCTGAAGGATACAGGACCTGGGTGTTTAGCATGACAGCAGCTACCCTTTGGAAGTCCCTTATGTTACGTATCAGACAGACATCGTCTCTATTGAATTTTTGGCACATATGGAAGACTTCTTTTTTCAACAAGCCTTTTAAGTGGAGATTTTTATCCTAGTTTGTACTTTTTGGATAGGAAATTGCTTTTATATATGAAATTGCTTTGCATGTGTTTTTATTTTTCCTTTTTAAATTATATTTGCCTTTAAAGTTATATCTTTTCCTCACAAAAGTGACCCAAAACAATTTACATAACCAATAAACAACTTTGTATAACAACCAAACAACCAATGAAACCTATAAGCCCAACCATACAGATAAATACTGGTCTTACAGATCCCTCTCCACTAAAAAAGGCTACAAATATCTGAAACCCTTTATTCATTCACTTTAAGATGCTTTATAGGAAGCAGTTCATAAATGGAGTAGAATAAATAAGATCTAATCAAAATGAGTCTGCTTTCCTATGAAACAGTGTTGTACTTTCTGGGGGTTTTTTCTCTTGCAGCACCCGAAACATTTTGGATGACTTCAGAGAAGCCTACTATTGGCTAAGACAAAACACAGATGAACATGCCAGAGTAATGTCTTGGTGGGATTATGGCTATCAGATAGCAGGAATGGCAAATCGGACTACTCTAGTTGACAATAATACTTGGAATAACAGCCACATAGCCCTGGTATGTAGTGGTATTTCTGTTTATTGAGAGCTGGGTGACAGAACAGGTGGCTCTAGATTTATAAACAATTACATTTAAATAATATGCTGAAGATTGCTTTCCATTATGTTGCTGTATTTTATGCCTTAACTCCAAGATCATGTTTGAGAAATGTTCGTTTTCTAGGTTGATGGTGATATCTGATAACATAGAATTTGAAACAGAAAGCAGTGTTTCAACCTTTATTCTCAATAAACATTGAGATATCTACCTGACCTTATCCTGTTTATATCCACAGCCTGTCAACTGTGTTAAAGGACAATGACCATTATCACTACTCCCTTTGGACTCCTCTTGCTGAGAGGAGCAGCAGGGGAAGAGTATATTCTAATGGGGCTATAGCTGTCTTCATAAAAAGTGGCCCGATTTATATAATAAGCCATGGTTTATGACATCTTAACTGGGCCAGTGACTACAAAAATATGTGCTGTAGTGTTGCCACATACTGAACGTAACTGAAGTTTTAGGCTTGAAAGATATATCATTATAGTGTTTTATGTTTTATTTTATATTTAAGTTGTGTTTATACATATTTTAAGCCAACCACTGACTCTCGTGTATCTTTTAGTTAAACTCGATGCTACGATTATTTCAGTTCTATATTTCACATTGGATGAAATGACCTCTAATAACATGGGCTAATGATATATCTTGACTGGTTGGTTAATAACTGCTTTTTAGACAAGAACGCTTGCAAGTTTTAGAAATAACTCTCTTTATTGCAGGTAGGAAAAGCTATGTCTTCAAATGAGACAGCAGCTTATGAGATCATGAAGAGTCTGGATGTGGATTATGTGTTAATAATTTTTGGAGGTGTAATTGGCTACTCTGGTGATGATATCAACAAATTCTTGTGGATGGTGAGGATAGCGGAAGGAGAACATCCTAAAGATATCAGGGTGAGTTGAAATATAATTTCCCCCCCCCCAAAAAAAAACCCCTTTATTAATTATGTTAGGGCTGTTGGTTCAATCTATCAAGATCTTGCTTCTAATTCTGCCACACTTCTATTGAGAAATTTTCCTGATATATTCTCTGGATTCTAGGTACTTCTCAGTAGAGCTATAATTAGATGACATCCTAAAAGTCGTAGTATTTTATGTAATAAATAATAGTATTTTATGTTGAGGGATTGCTTCAAATCAGGCCTTATCAGACATTGGTGCCATATCATAATATACCTGATAAGAGTTGAAATGAGAACAAATTGTGGTCTTCCCTTATGGACGGTGCTTCTTTCTTTAAAAAATGTTTAGGGGTACTCACATTTTGACTCAAGAAAATCACCATTTTATAGTTCAAATCGGGGGAAATAAAATACAGTAAATGGACAAAACTACAAAGATTCACAAAATGTTTAGGGGTATGCAATACCCCTGCATCCCCCCAGAAAAAAAGCACTGCTTATGGATGTTCAGAAATGTGTCTTTCTTGGTGACACAGCTGAATATTCTTACAGTTGAATAATCCAATAATTCAGTTTCTGAATGCTTAAGTAATAATTTTGCTACTGTACCCCCCTCAAAAATCATGGTTACAGCCTGTATAGAAAAAAACAAGATTGAGCTCAGTCTGAGAGTTAAGTCAGTTTATTTGAAGTAGAAACCAGTTACAGCACCACTTTATTTCCCATATTGTGGCAACATGCATAACACTAATTGTATTTCCTTTTTCTCCCTAAAGGAAAGCGACTATTTTACTCCACAGGGAGAGTTTCGAGTTGATAAAGCAGGCTCTCCAACCTTGCTAAACTGTCTCATGTATAAAATGTCATATTACAGATTTGGAGAAATGCAGGTTAGTGGAATTTTGCTATCTTAAATGTGTGTTTTTTTGGGGGGGGGAATGTAGGCCACTTAATCCAGAAAATCTTTAAGCGATATGCGTAATATAATTATCAATAAAAGTTAAAATTGGCAAAACTTTTAAAACGAAATAGAATGCTAGTTTTTAGAATATAGTTTAACAACTAACCTCAAAGAATCCATAGTCTTCCTTTGTGGTCTTCCTTTGGCAGAATAAGGATTGGGGTGGTCTTCAGTGACTCTCCCAAACCTCTAGAGCAGATTGACAGGTGGCTATAGGTGGGAAGGGGAATAGTATCAACCTGAAGAGTGCTTCAATCACTGTTTAGTTGATGGGAGACTTACTGGATCAAATAGCCTTCTATCAAGTTCCAGTGAGGGACACCCATTAGTATAGTATTATAGTACTTTAGTGCTAATATGATAAAATAGCCAAAGGCCTAAGAGGGAAAGGAAGTGGGAGTAGAGGTCAAATATGCTCTGAGCTCTTGTAACCCCAGGGTTAAAGGATCAGGTGGGTATTAACATCTGCATGGAGCTTTCATTATAAGTAACTAGGAAGAGCTGGTTAATATGGGCTTATATTACAAAGTTAAATAAAGGGCAGACAAAGGAATGTAATTCATTATCTGTTATATTTCTTATGTGAAGGTTGCCGTTTCTAATTTTTATAATGAAAACTGTAGATTTCACAGTACGTGTTTCTTCTATGGGCTACAAATTTGTATAATATGTATTTTAAGCTAATCTTTGAATTAATTTTTTTTTTTAATGCACACATTATAGATCATGTTTCTTAGAAAAAGAAATAAGGCATATAAGTTTTAAATTCAATTTAAGGAAACATTTAAGGGAAATGTCTGAAGGGGATAATCTGGAAGTGTAGCTTTGGGTGTCAGTGGTATGACTCGCAACTCTGCCTTTCAATTGCCATCATCTGATCCCAGGGAGGTGGTGTAAAATCGAAACTGGTGCTTGGGGGCGGTTTGGTATTGGATGCGGCTGAACAAACCATTAGGGGAACCAGATGACAGGTGTAGATGTGTGCAACCTCTTTTGGATGAGATCAGAATCTTGTAGCAGCAGGTGCACAACTTGAGAGTTGTCTTGTGAATGTAGCTCTCATCACCAAGCACCTTTTCCCAAAACCTTGCCAGAAGAAATCTGGCATCCCATTACTTAAGAGGCTTGATGACAGTAATGCAGAGGTTTTCAACCTTTTGGGGTCCACAGCTCCATTTTTTCTGTGGCACTCCTGTGGGGCTCAGGAGCCCAGTTATGTCACCCCTTGCCTGCAGAGCCGGCAGCCCCTCACTTTTTGAACACTCTCCCTTGTGGAGTATTCCCTTGGCCTCCTTTCTCCTCCTTTCTCCTTGAGAGTCCTCTGGCTGCTACCCCTGGTCTTTGAGCTGCCCCCCTCACCCCAAAGAGAGGTGCCTCCTCACATTGCCACACAGGAGCCTAGGAAGTACCCCCTGGCCAGCCCCAGAGGCACCATTCGCCTGGGGAGCTTGTAGCCAGGGCTGCTGCAACAAACAGCCATGCAAGCCTTTGGGAGGCAGAGATGCAAGAGGGCATCAGAGGAAGGTGGGAAGGAAAGAGGGACTGAGGCCAGTGTTGCCAGCAGCACCCCAGGGTGCCACAGCACACTGGTTGAAAACCACTGCTGTAATGTGTTACTCTAACAGGGACTCCCAGAGTTCTGAAGGTAATAGGAGATAAAAGCACACAACAGTGATCCTTTACCAACTCCCACTAGTATCCGTTTATTGGTTTTGATCAGGCATAGGCAAACTCGGCCCTCCAGATGTTTTGGGATTACAACTCCCATGATCCCTAGCTAACAGGACCCAGTAGTCAGGGATGATGGGAATTGTAGTCCCAAAACATTTGGAGGGCCGAGTTTGCCTATGCCTAGTTTTGACCCAGCTTCTTGTAGGCAGATTTTATTCAGGGAGCCTTCTCCTATTTTGACTCTAGTGTTTTAACTGTTGCTTTTTGGTTGTTGTGGTGGCTTATATTTTTGATTTTATGATCAGCAGTTTTTCATTGTGAGGCTGGATGGAATCCTTTAAATCAGTCTCCCATTTCCAGCTTTTAGATTTGGTTCTGGGAAGAGATTACACATCTGTAAATAAATGGGATAATAATGTTTTGGATAGTCCTTTTGTACTTTTTTATTTTGTACTGTATACATCTAAAAATAAGGAACTTGTTGCAAGCAATTGCCATAGATCGGGTGCTCCAGATTTTTCATGTAAATTGTACCGACATTTGAGGCCCAAACATTTAAATGTTAATAGTTTTATACCGCAATGTAGCGATTTGAAGTTAAGGCCCCCATAACAATATCCTATTGTAAAATGTATGGCAACTCATATATATTTTAGAACTTGGAACACTGGGAGATATTTTTCAAAGTAGTACTTTGAGTTCTATTCACAGGATTGCATTTTATATCTTTAACCTAATGTGTGACATTAACTTTTTGTAGCTGGATTTTCGGACACCTCCAGGATTTGATCGCACACGCAATGCTGAGATTGGCAACAAGGACATTAAGTTTAAACATTTGGAAGAAGCCTTCACATCAGAGCATTGGCTTGTTAGAATATATAAAGTGAAACAGCTAGACAACAGAGAGACACTGGACCATAAGCCTAGGCTAACCAACATTTTACCAAAACAAAAGTATTTGTCAAAAAAGGTGGGTTCCCAGTGAAGTATGCCTAAGGAGGTTCATAGTGTTACACAAATTTACCAACTATATGATTAGTTCTTTCTACTAGCCAGACGCAGAGAGAGTTTGTATCAAATATCAGACCTGCCTGATGGTAACCATGGTTAACTAACACTGACTAAGCATGTGAGGGCAACTAAATTCATTGTTGTGCTAATTGGCAGGCTGTCTCAGAATCTCTTGAAAAACCCAGCAAAGTGTAACAGAGTACTATCCAAAATACGTAAGTAGTGTTTTAGTAACTATGGCAGCTCACTGAGTAAAATGTGAAAGTGTCTTTCTGAAAAGTGATACCTAGAAATTTCAGAATGACTTTTTTTTTGTAAAATAATTAAACCTGGAGCTTTTGTTGACAGCTTGAGTGTCTGGCTTACTCCTTTTGAAATTGTCTTACACAGGTTTTCATTTTTAAAGACTCATTTTTGTGTGCGTGCGCTACTCTATTGAATATAAAAGTGTTCAGGCATGGAAATAAAATCCTTTTAAACGAACTCCCCCTTTTTTACATGATTCCTTGCAAAATAAATAGAACCTTATGGACAGGCAATGTTTAATCTTTTAGGAAGGTCACTTCAAGGGCAGAGTTGTATAGAGTTAAGGGCTGACTATATAAACTATTGACATTGTTGGATGTCGGAAAAGCATTCAAAGAGTAAATTGATTAATAACTTGATACTTGAGTGGCAAGGACATATTCACACATACCCGTGTAAACCACTAAAGGTGTTTTCTGGCTTCCACTTTCATGCACAAATGTTTTCTGCTATAAAGTATTTACTTCCCAATTGTCTTTTGAGTTCTCCCAGTTTGGTGCTCCTGGCTTCCTGCATGTACCTATTATGCAGGTGTACAGAAGCATCTGCCCGGGAGAGGTAAGCTGTGCATATTCTTACACCAGGCGTTGGCAACATTTTTTGAGGCCAGGCCGGTCCACTCCCTGGCAGACCTCTCGGTGGGCCGGAGCGTGCACGCCCGCTCAAGCAATTTCCAGCACGCTTCCGGGATGAAGGAGCGCCTGTGCGCATGTGCACACACTATTTCCGGTGCTCTTCCAACCCGGAGGTCGGTCCCCACAGTGAGGGGGAAAAAATGGCACCACGGGGGAGGAGCACGGACTCCCCATGCCAGTCCACAAAATGGCCATGGGCCATTTCCAAGAAGCTCATAGGCCAGTTTTGGCCCATGGGCCTTAGGCTGCCGACCTCTGTCTTATACCCTTAAAAATCATCATACACACATAACATAAATCATATGGTAGTGAAATGTTCATGTTGTGTTTAATAGCATAGTATCAGCAACATACGAACACAATTTGCAATAGTTGCGAGGTTGGAATGTCGGTGTATTATCATACCATGTGGGTTGTGTTTTTTTCTGGCATTGGAGTCATACACGTTTTGGAATGAGGTACTGAGAATTTTCAGATTCAGTGTTGCAGATATTAGTTGCACTTGCTGTACGTTGACATGTACCTTTGCAGCAAAAAATCTTGTCCTCATTTTTGGAAGTCTTAGGATGAGCAAATCACATTTCTAGTTTTGGAGATACGAGTGTGGATGAGTCAAGGATGTAGGGTTTAAAATAAGCGACAGCGGTATGCAACTGCAACTCTTTATATTAGTTTTTGCTTCCAGAAAAAAGGTTGGTTCAAAATTTCCCCTTCCCTTGGAGAGTGTAAGGTAAAGTTGCTTTTAGAATTAAGGATCTAAATTGTACTGTACCCTGCATATAATGGCCTTATAGTCTAACTTTTTGATGTAGCGACAGAATAGTTGTGTCCCAGTGATAAAGGAAATGACAGCCATATTTTTGTCAGTATATCAGACCCTAGGAAAAGTCTGTTACCTGTCATGCCTGCCATGTGGCAAGCAAACCTTGCTTTAACATATAATTATCACATCACTGTGATGGCTCCCACTAGCTCAACTATTTTGTAGAATCCAACCCAAGGTTAAAATTGCTTAAAATATTTCTGGGAGGCACAATTGTAGAAGGAAAAATGGATGCTGTGTTTGTCTACCTTTTATTTTAAAAATACGCTTAACACGAAGTACTAAACAGAAACCTACGTTAAGGGGTGTTGACTAAATGTACATAGAAAATAAATTTATGAAGCCAGATTGTTATTTGTTATTTATTAAATTTAGATACTGCCCTATCTCAGGGCAAGTTCTCAAGATTCCCAGTTTCTTTAAAAGATTAAAGTTCAGTTTCTGAAAAGGTATTGAGTGTTAAAGGTTATTGTGAAACCAGTAAAATGTCAAAAATATGGAGAAGAGCGTTCTGTAGCCCTTATGAAAATTTACTGCAAATCATCTACAACTAAGTTTTACCTGATTTAGGCAATAATCTTAAACACACTTATTGGGGGCAAGTTCCATTGAGTACAGTGGGACTTGTCTCTGAGAAAACATGCATAGGGTGGGGCTGTTAAAAATTTCAGATTCTTAGGCCTGCCAGTTTCCTAGCCCTGACCCCAAATGTAATATTTAAATATTCTAGAGCAATGCAGAACTTGATGTAGTCACTAGAGCATTGTAAGAAACTAATACACTATTCTGTTTTTCTTTTTAGACTGCCAAAAGGAAGCGTGGCTACATTAAGAATAAACTAATTTTAAAGAAAGGCAAGAGACCCAACAGGAAGACAGTTTAAATACACTGTACTGATTGCTAATATTGAAGCAGTTGTCCTTGAGATAACCAGTCTTTGCCTTTAGCTCAAGTCATGTTTCACAGCAACATGAGGGTACAGAACCATCATTGGTCCAGATTATTGTACAAAACTTTCAGGCAATGTCTGACTTTAAAATTTTTGGCTTATTGAGAACAGCTGTTTTAGATTTGTATTGTGGAGCAAGACTGAGCTGCTGTCCAGGTCTAGCAGCAGATTTTTGTTTTATTTTTTTTATTTTACTGGTACATATTATCCTTCCAATCGATTGAATTTGGACTGATTGCACCAAAGAGCCCTTTAATTCGGTCCTTGGCACATGCATACTTGTCGAGATTTTTTTTAAGTAGTTGAGCTGAACAGCAATATCTTACTGGAATGGTGAAATGTATGAATTGACTAGCCTTGGTCTGACACTTTCAGGAGTGTGGATATTTTTATATTCAGCTACTAGGACTCCTTTAAAGGTATTTATTTTACAAGACTTCATGAAATGTACTCTCCTCTTGCTGTATGTTGTGTGCTGGACTGTAAACCAAGCTGCAGTTTCACTAATCACCGGACAGATTATATAATTGGATTATGCAACTTGTTTTGAGAAGAGGTGGTTTTGCTGCCCATATGCAGGTGTATTCTTGGACTATATAGGGCAAATCTTGTAGGTAGATACAAGGGCTAAATTTGTATCTTAAATCAGACACGACAGTAATGAATGCTACTGAGCACCCTAGCACCTGGTGTTCTCAGATTTTGCTTGTTTAGCTTCATATTTTCATTAAACCATAATTTGGCCTGTTAGGAGATGTTTTTTGACAAGTATCCAAAGTCTTTCTGTGGCTACTGAAAGGCAGATGGTTTATAAACCTGCCTCCATTTTCACGGGGTTGTGGAAATGACTGGCTTTTCTCCATATTTTTATTTAGTGCTTCAGTTGATGGGAAACTTTTTGCTTGACTATGTGCTTTGTCTTTTCTATTTTATTAAAAAGACAATTATCAAGTGCACTAAATTATGGAGACTGAACACGTTCACTTTCCAACTATAGGAAACCTTACAGACTTGAACATCCTTTAGTTATTTTAATAAAGTTAAATGTGTTTGGGGGTATGGCTCACCTGACAGCCACAGGACATAATTTCAATATAGTAAAACAGCTTATACCAGATGTATTGGTGTAAAGCAGAATAGTATGTACCTTCCAAACAAAAAAAAAATTATCTATTGCTCAGTGAGAATGTTACTGCTGACTTTTCTTCTCAGATGTATAATTTTTATTTGTAAATTCATTTTTGAGTAAAGAGGTTATTAAATCAATAATGCAGTGGCAACATTTTCACAAAATAACAATCTGGATTTCTGACCCTTTGTCATTGAGATTATATTACTTTGTTGCTTTCAAGCTCAATGCAGACCCGTTGTTGACTATAGGGAAAAATAAAGTTAAATCAAGTTTTGTGTTAAGTGGTTGGCTGCTGTTCCTTTTTTTATTATCTTACATTAAGCTTTGCCAATTCTGCTTATGGACTTGCTTACAAATTCTCTTGCGATGATCTACCCTTTGCCCAGTCACTGAGGGAATAGTTTTGCATCCAGTTGCTTTCTTTCTGCTGACAGAAGGATCAGCAAAGCTTTCTAGTATGCAGAGTGGATCAAGGCAATCTTCAGCTATTTCCCACTCTTCTGTAACCCCATCCCCACCCCGCAAAAAAATAGCTCTGGTTGAAGTTGGTGGTGGAAGGTCTGCAGGCGATAGGGGGATTTGCCAAACATTGCCTCAAAATCATGTACCAGTCAAAGAGCTTTCTATCAGCAGAGGGCCGCTATTGGAGACAACCCTTCGTGTTCCACAATATAACTTAAGCTGGGTTTGGAAAAGAGCTGTTTAAACCATTTGCAAGAAATAATTAAGCTTTATGCTTGCAAGCTTAATCCTTAACACTGATCTAGTATATCTCATATTTATGGTACGTTAAATTTGGACTGATACCTCTGGTTTACACTGGCTTCCTTATGGGTTCTTGTACCCAGTACCACATTTAAATTCTGAGTTTCAGTTCTAGTGGGAAATTGGTTACTTCTTTAGTACAAGACTCCAATCCAACCTTAATACCAAGTGCAGATCTGTCCTAAAATCCAGACTGTTGTTACTTGGAACAATTCATTTTTCTATAGTGTGGTCTTAAGGGTTGTTGTTTTTGCAGGATACGGCTGCAAAACAACAGCTTTCATACTCCTCTCCATTTTTTGATAGTGTTGCTCTTACCTCTCAGGTCATGGAATCCATCTAGGGTCTTAAAGTCCTCCATATCCTTTGTGCAGTTGTGTTGCTGCACCTACTGCATGTGAGCTAAACTCTGATCAAGAAAAGCAGGAGACACAAAATGTTCTCGCACGGAAGGCTCAAATCTTGACCAGAAACAGCACCTTTGAGAAGCATTTCTGGGCCTCATAGCCATGTTTGCAACAAGCAGCAGCATGTACAAAAACCATCCAGAGTAATACTGAATTCACTCTCCCGTCAGCCCTTGTGTAGTCACAACAGCATCCTCCATCCACAAGCAGGGAGGGAGCCTCAAGATCTCATATTTATAAACAGCCTGATGCAAGATTCCTCTGTACAGTCAATGATCATGGAACACAGTGTTGAGGCAGGGGGCAAATGAGTATCCTGACAAAGGATGTCGCCGGTTAAGTACCCTGAACACAAACCTGCCACACTGAAAAACTTTACTGCAAGCCCTCCTTAAGAATATGCAGAGTGCCTTTCCTGTTCAATTGCCAATTTCTGCTGTGGCTTATATACATTGTTATAACCTGTCCTCAAAACAGCCAAGTAAATCCTCTTTCCTCTATCTATAATAGCCATTCATCAATTTTGAAATATTTCCTTCCGATACCTCTGGAGTAACTTTGCCTGAGAAAAACAGACAGCATGCACACATTCCTCCCTAACATGGCCTTGAACATTGCTGACTGACATCTGGCCCCAATAATAAACTCAGCTTTGCTGGTGCTGCATGCAGAGGGTGAAAATGAAACCCCTTGTCAGGGAACTGCCATCGGAAGGAAGGGAGGTGAAAGGACTCAGACAGGTTGGAAGAGACTCAGCAGCTGAAGAGGAAACCAGCAGGGGGAGAGAAGCTGAACTGAGGGAAAGGGAGCTGGGGGGATGGCTCAGAGATACTTCCAGCGAAAACAGTGGTGAGGTTTCCGGACCTCCTGTAGCGACACCCACTCCTCGCCGGAAACTGTCACGCAGAGAGTCCAGAAGACGTGTTTCCGTTAAGGAGCTTTTATGTTGGAAGCGATTACGAAAGCAACCACTGTCGGAATCTTCTAGTGACTAGAGGAGCCATGTCAGAGGGGCTCAGTCACAGACAGAGGTTTGTGGACTTGAACAAACTCTGAGGGAATACGATTTTACGCACAAGCAGCTCATAATCCCATCACAGCATTCCGACAGTCTTTGAACGCAGCTTGTGCAGGAGAAGGCATAATGAGCAACCCAGCAGGAACCGGAGAAGCAGGGGCTGGAGCGGGTCCAAGCCTGGAAGAAAGGTACCGGGTGTTGGAGGTCCAGCTGGCGCTGCAGACGGCGAGGCTGGAGGAGAGGAGGGCTCAAGATGCAGACAAAGGGAGAAAGCCACCCAGCTCGCCAGAAAGGTACCAGGATTGGTGCAGAAATTTGGGGGGGAGCCCAAGGACTATCATAGCTTTCGGACAGAAATGCAATATGCCCTCAATCTGCAGTTTGATGATTCCCTGATGAGGAATCACGAGTGGCTTTTGTGATTGGGCATCTTGAAAAGGGGGCGAGAGACTGGGTTAGACCCCTGATGGCAGCGCATAGTGACGTCCTAAAGGACACGATGAAGTTCTTTCGCGCCATGGATCTGATGTTTTCCAGCGATATTGAAAAGGGAGTGGTGCGCAGACAGTTAATGGCTTGCAAACAGGGGAGCCGATCTGTACGTGAGTACTGGACTGAGTTCACCATGGTGATACACAGATTGGGGTGGGACTTATCGGCGGAACCCATTCAAATGCTCTTTGAAGAAGGGCTTTCTTCGGCTGTGAAAGATGAACTTTCCCGGGCGCCCAGGGCGGAGTCTATGGACCAGCTGACCAAATCAGCGCTGGCCATAGGAGCGCGCCAGGAGGCGAGAGCATTGGAGAGGCGGGAAGGGAAAGGGGAACGTTGGAAGGAGTTCCGCATTCCAGACATTCCAGAGCCAACTGTCCCGCCGGCAGAGCCGATGGAAATCGGAACAGCGCGCGCGCGCAGTTTCAAAGCCCAGTGAGGGGGAAAGAAGGATGGAAAAGGCGCCCGGAAATGCTATCTCTGCCAACAGCCAGGGCACTTTGCCAGAGTCTGCCCCCAGAGGAAGGAATGGCAAGGGATGGTGGGAGCTGTGGAGGGAAGAGAGGAAAAATACCGGAGCAACTAAAAGCCAACGCCTGGCTGCCATTGTCGGGGCACAGCAGCCAGGCCAAAGAGCAGTGAAAGTGCCCACTCCAGAACCTCCTAAACCCGCCCTAGTGATAGAAGTGACACTAGAGCTGCCAAACGGACACCCTCTAAAGATAAAGGCGCTGTTGGACTCAGGCAGCTCCTGCAATTTCATGAGCAAAGAGTTTGCAGCTGAACACCAGATACAGACGCTCCCTTTAAGCAACCCCCTGCAGGTAACCACGATCGATGGCAGGGAGCTGTTGGGAGGAGAAGTCAGCTTGCAGACCGTCCCAATGATAATGAAGGTGGCAAGGCACACTGAACTAATAGCATTTAATGTGGCCACCTTGGGAGGAGCTCCCATTATATTGGGGATGAGCTGGCTAGCGTTACATGATCCGCTGGTGGGCTGGCATCAAAGAGTGGTTTCTTTTGGGTCAGCACATTGCTTAGAACATTGCAAAGAGGGAAAGGTTTTGGCAGGGGCCCAAGCCACCCTAGCAGGGACTGAAGTGACGGAGAACGTGAAGGTACCACGACAATACGCAGATCTCCGCGACGTCTTCAGCGAAAGGGAAGCTGACCAACTACCACCGCATAGAGCCTTTGACTGTCAAATCAATTTGCTCCCTGGGGCACAGCTCCCTGTGGGCAAGCTGTACGCCATGTCAGACAGAGAGATGCAGGAGCTAAGAGAGTTCATTGACAAGAACCTGAAGAGAGGGTTCATCAGAGAGTCCAGGGCAGTGGGGGCAGCCCAGTGTTTTTGTGGACAAAAAAACACGAACAAGCCGAGACTGGTGTGTGACTTCAGGGCCTTAAATGCAGTGTCAGAACCAGTGGCCTTCCCGATGCCCAGGATTGACGACATTTTGACAAGGGTGCGGAAGGGAAAGATTTTCACCAAGCTGGATCTAAGGGGGGCGTACAACCTGATACGAATAAGGAAGGGGGATGAATGGAAAACCACCATGTTCACCCCTTTAGGGGCATTTGAATACTTAGTTATGCCCTTCGGTCTACAAGCAGGCTCCGCAACATTTCAATCGTTTATGAACCACGTCCTGGGGCCGTTGCTTTACAAGAATTGTGTGGCCTTCTTAGACGACGTGTTGGTGTATTCTGAGAATGAGGAGCAGCATGTGAGAGACGTCAGAGAAGTGTTGAGCAGGCTGCAAGCCAACCAGCTGTGGGTGAAACTGGAGAAGTGTCAGTTTCATACCAAGGAGGTGGAATTCCTGGGGTATCGCCTGTCTGACAAGGGGTTGGCCATGGATCCCGGCAAGGTCCAGGCGGTACTGGAATGGAAAACACCCAAAACAAGGAAGGATGTGCAGAGGTTTTTAGGGTTTGGGAACTTCTATCGTAAGTTCATCCCAAACTTTGCCCACCTGACGGCGCCCATTACGGACTGTCTCAGCAGTAAGAAGAAGTTCGTTTGGACGGAGGAGGCGGAGCAAGCATTTGAGGAACTAAAAGGGCCTTCGCCTCGGAACAACAGCTCCTGCATGTGGATTTACAAAAACCGATGAGAGTGGAAACTGACGCATCAGACAGAGCGGTTGGGGCGGTGCTTCTCCAGCCAGGGAAGGAGGAGTCAGAGTGGAGACCGTGTGCTTTTTTTCGCGAAAGCTGAACAAATCCGAGAGGAACTACACGGTGTATGACCGAGAACTACTAGCCATTCATGAGGCGTTCCGGAGATGGAGGCACCTGCTAATTGGCGCACAACATAAGGTGCAAGTGTGCACTGACCACAAGAACCTAGAGTATTGGAGGACGGCACGAGTGCTCAACCAACGGCAAGTGAGATGGGCCCAGGAATTCTCCAAATTTAACTTTGAGATTTGTTACGTGCCAGGTCCAGAGAACATTAGGGCGGACGCTCTCTCACGCAAACCTGAATATTTGGAGGGGAGGGAGCACCCGAAGAGAGACATGTCATTCCAGAGGACCGCTGGGTGTGTGGGGCGGCATTGGTGGGACAAAGAGAACTGGTAGAAGAAACAGAGAATGATGAATACGCCCAGAATAAGCTCAGAGGTCTTAGGGATGAGGGAGAGGAATCAAGGGGTTTCGAGGAAAGAAATGGAGCTTTGTATTACAAAGGGGCACTGTATATCCCTGAAGGAGACTTAAGGGGAGGGTACTCAAGCAGTTGCATGACAGCCCCACGGCGGGCATTTTGGGCAACACAAAACCATGTGGTTGGTCACCAGGGAATTTTGGTGGCCTAAGGTGAGGGAGGATGTACGTGAGTATGTAAGAGGGTGCGAGCAGTGCCAGCGAGCCAAAGGGGAAAGGCGGGCGCCGGCGGGGCTATTAGAACCCTTACCAACACCAGAACGACCTTGGGAGGCAGTGTCGATAGATTTTATGACTGATCTGCCGAAGTCCAAAGGGAAAACAGCCATCATGGTGGTGGTAGACCTACTAACAAAGATGTGCCACTTTGTAGCTTGCTCGCATGCAGTCACGGCGGAAGAGACAGCGAGGTTATTTGTAGAACACATTTTTAGGTTGCACGGGGTGCCATTGAGGGTGGTCTCAGACCGAGGAAAACAATTTACTTCCAGGTTCTGGAGGAAGCTCATGAGCTTACTGCAGGTGGAGGTCAACTCTTTCGACTGCCCGGCACCCTGGAAACCAACGGGCAGGCGGAAAGAGCAAACGGTGTCCTCCAGCAATACCTGAGGTGTTATGTCAATGACAGAGAGAATGACTGGGTAGAAAAGTTGGCGCTGGCGGAATTTGCCTACAACAATGCCGAGAATGTGTCCACAGGGATGAGCCCCTTCTTGGCTAATTATGGGTGTCATCCCAGGGCTTTCCCCGGGGAGAAGGGGAGAGATGGAGCGCACCGGCAGCCGAGCATTTTGTAGAAGAAATGGAAGCAATCCACCGTCAGCTCCAACTCAACTTAGAAAGGGCGAAGGAAGAATACAAGAGGCAGGCAGACAAGAACCGAAGGGAAGGTGAAACCATAAGGGTTGGAGATAGGGTGTGGCTGTCAACCCGAGGGCTGCTGTTCAAAGGAGGTTGTAAGAAATTAAGACCCAGGAGGTTGGGTCCCTTTGAGGTCATTCAACAGGTCAACCCAGTGGCTTTCAGGCTCCGGTTACCCAACCACATGAAACTGCACCCAGTATTTCACAGGTCGTTACTGTCACCGTACGAGGGGGGACGAGAAGGGATGGCCACTCGGGACCGGTCATAGAAGAAAGAGAATGCAGCAGTCATGTGGCAGAAATCCTTGATGCCAGGTGGAAGGGAATCAGGTGGAGTATTTGGTAGCGTGGGAAGGAGAACCGGAGTCAGAAAACACGTGGGTAATGGCCAAAGATATCAATGACGAGGTATTGATAGAAATGTTCCATCAAAGGTTCCCGCGGAAACCTCAGCCTGTGGAGAGGTTCCGGAGGGAATACTTTGGGACCACTGAGGAGGAGGAGGAGTTGGAAGGATTCCCAGAATCGGAAGGGGAAGGGAGATGGACTCGGAGGAGGAGGAGTGCTTCGAGACCAGGAACCGCAACAGGTGGAGAGAAGTGTTCGAGACATCGGAAGATGAAGGAAGTTCATTCCGGGTTTTGCCTCCTCACCGCCCGTAGAGGAGGGGGCGAGAGGGGGTGAAGGGGGCCCTGGAGGGGAGGTGGATGTCAGGGAACTGCCATCGGAAGGAAGGGGAGGTGAAAGGACTCAGACAGGTTGGAAGAGACTCAGCAGCTGAAGAGGAAACCAGCAGGGGGAGAGAAGCTGAACTGAGGGAAAGGGAGCTGGGGGGATGGCTCAGAGATACTTCCAGCGAAAACAGTGGTGAGG